ACGAGCCCTAGAAGCGCCGACGTCCGTTGCTGCGCCTGCGCCGCCGCGGTTATGGAGGCAGCAGCCGAAGTTATGGAGACTCCACGGCCGCGAGAACCGCGGATAGGGATGCTGATACTGCTACTGCCGCCTCCGCCAGCGCTAGGCTCAGACGGCGGCCCGTTGGCGGCGGTGGCGGCGTCCATGGGCAGTGGCTGCACTCTACCCATAGAGCCGCTTAGCTCCCCACCCGGGAGCTGAGCTCGCGGCAACATGAAGGATGGAATGCTGGCGACGGAGCCCAGCTCCGCGTCTTCCATCATGGTGTCGAGGGACTCGTCGCCCCCCAGGGGAGCCCGCCGGGCGCGCAGCCGCCGCTCAGTGCTGGTGGGGAAGAACAAAATCAACAACGAGAATTACAAAAAGAAGTGAAACTGAATATCAAGTTGAATAATGGAAAAACAAGGACAAGGAGATATTGGCGTCAGCGTAGCGAAGGGAAAGGAGGAAGCGGAAGGCGAAGGGGCAGTAGGGACGCAAACGTGCTGGAGGCAGCAGCATGGCGCACGGAACGCCGCGCTCTCAAAAACAAACAAACAAACAAACACAACAACAACAACAACAACAACAACAAGATCTTGGCTTGCCTTTGAAGTAGAAGACGCTTCCAATCCGATCTCGCTTCTCTAAATAATAACACAGCAGTGTTACCCAACAATCACGCAACCAACCAACCAATGCCACGTGCATAACTAACTCACGCGACCTCATGCAGGGCGCCAAACAGTTCGTTGGCAAAACCGCCGCCGGATGGTAGCCGTTCCAGCATTGATGGGTTTGTGAAGGAGGCCGCCGCAGCGCCGCCACGATCATCTGCGAGGTGGCGAGCCGCTTGAGAGCTCCGCCGGTCCCACGCCATCGCCACACTATCCGACGGCGCGCTAGGCTGCACGACCAACACCTCATCGCAACCGTCGCCAGCGGCCGTCGCCGTAGCGGCCGTCGCCGTGGTAATAAGTAAGCTGCTGCCGGCATCGTCGGTCGTATCCAGGACAGCGTGGTGTACGGCGGGGCCGTGGAATGGGGCGTACGGCAGCGGCAGCTCTGGCGCCGGCCGTGAAGGGGCTGACGGGAAGGTCTGGCTGCCGCTCGTGTTGGTATCCGCGACGGCGCCGCTACTGCGGCATTGCAGACGGCTGCTGCCGTTGGCGGTGGCGGCAGCGGCGGCGAGGCCGCTGGTATGGCCGCTGTGCCCCAGGTCGACCAAGCCCGAGCCGCACGGCGACATGACACTGCTAGATGCCAGGTGTGACCCCGCGCGCAGAAAGGCGTTGTTGATGCCCTCCATCTCATGGCCCATCTTGTAGAGGGAATCCTCTCCCGGGAGTGTGGGTGACCTCCCCACTGCGGTACCGCGAACGAAAGAGATGAAGGTATAATTGAAGGCGGGGGGAAAGGCGAACCACAGACGAGTGCGGCCGGGGGCAAGGAGGGCATTGACGGTGGGCGGGTGGGACGAGGAGGACGGCCCGGAGGGGGGGGATTATATGCAGAAAGTGGGATCCCCCCGAGGGAGGGGAGGGGGAATGGACCGAAATAAAGTGTGGGGGTATGGACGGGAGAGTTCTTGTACAGTCCCCTCTCACAACAACCTTCCCCCAGACCCCCCCCTTCACCTCTTCCTCCCTCCCTCACGCCGCTCTTCCGGATTCCTCTCCTCCCCCATCTCCCGACTCCCTAGAATTCCTCTCCATGACAGACGGACTCCTCACCGCATCCCGATGACCGCCCGATACCCACTTCCCCATTTCCCCTCCCCCTTCCTTAACACGACGACCCACATCAGCATTACCCCCCCTAGCCCTTCTTCGCGCTTCCCCCTCTCCCTCCGCACAACTTACAAAAGGGAGGCGGTGAATGGATATGACTGTTATACCATTCCGCCTGCGGTGTGCTCAGCCGCACACGGTGCATCGTGGGGGTTTGGGGGGACCCCGCGAGACCCCCCTGCGGCATCGCCAGCGGTGAGGAACCAGCGCCGTCCGCCGTACAGTTGTCGTGAAACAGTGCGGAGAACCGCTGGCGGGCAGATTCCTGCATGGAGACCGCCCGCAGAGCCATTGCCGACTGCAAGCATGTGACCCATGGGTCGGTATGTCAGCCGGGGGAGGGAAACATATATCACGATGCAAAGTCAAGAAGGGAAACGACTGCCGACATGTCCAAAGCCGCCAACTGCCATACGAGCCTGAATAAGCAATGACTCAACTGCCTTATTTGTAAAATTTACCGCCCCATTTTGACCCCGGGCGGCGGCAACGTTTTCATGTTTTCCATTTCAGCGGCGAGGGCGGGAGAGGAAAAGGAAAGAAGCCGTTGCAGGCCTCCCCACACCGCTCCCCCACCCTCCTTTCCGAACCCAGGTCGTGCCCACCCCACCTACCCATCCTCCGTATGCTCCCGTTTGTATACCGGTATAACTTATCCGCTGCCAAAATGCTGCACTACCCAAGCTGTACCACATAACGGTATCTGTACAACGATATATTGCTACAGGCGCCTCCAAAAGCCACACATCTCCTCCGTTTCACATTCCTGACGTTAGAGTTCCTTCCTCTCTCTCAGTTTCCTCTTTCTCAGTTACATGGTATCTTTCTCAGCTTCAATGAGAACACTGCGACCATATCCACAAAAACCAGCGCCACACACTCCTCCACCACTCACCCTCAGAACGGCCCGCTCCGGAAGGGAGCCGTGCTCAGGAATATCCTGGTCCGCACCCAGCACCCCAGTGCCCTTGCCCGTGCCGCTGCCGGCGGCGGCGGCGGCGGCACCCGTGCCCGTGGCCGTGCCGCTGCCGGCGCCGGTCCCGCCAGAGCGCGGGGAGGCCCACGGGTCGCTCGACGGAGACGTCAGGTCGTCGCCCAATCGCGAAGATGCCGCGCCGAGGAGTTTGGAGCTATCGAAAGCCGCTATCGGCCCGGTGCTGGCCCTCACATTACGATTGTGGTTATGGTGATGATAATGGTGGTAGTGGTGGTACAGGGCGGCGATGCCGCCAGGAGGAGATGTAGGGAACGGGGGGTTGACGCTAGCTTCGGACTTTCGAAGCAAGGGTTGACTTATCGAGGAGCCCTGCCCTTCGCCACCGCCGCAGGCAGTAGCGGCAGCAGCAGCAGTTGTGTTGACCTGTAGCGTTCCCCCCGGGAGTGGGAAGGAATGAAATGCAAGGAAGGGAAACGTTTAACGGACACTGAGGGGGGAAGGACTGGGGGTAGGGGGTAAGGGGTAGGGGAGAAAAGACGAACCACACGAGCGAGTGAAGCTGATGCCAAGGAGGAAAGACTGAGCTGCGGCCGCGATGTACAGGAAAGGCATAACTAGGGGGGATGGCATAGGTTGTGACAGCGGCGGTGGGAATGTGGAGGGGAAAACCAACGCACAAAGGGGACGAATACATATAGATAGTATAATGTAAGAAGACGATGAGTTTACAAGTTTGTAAGCAAATGGACTAGTAAAACAAAAACGCCGTGTTGGGGCTCAAGTATGGACAGCGGATCCAAGACCGCGTGGGAAGGAGAGGAGGAACATGAGAAGACGGCTCTTGAGGTAATAGTTTGGGGATGTGCAGGTCAGCATGTAATAGCCGTTTTTACTGCAGTTATACATAGCAGCCACCAGACGCGACGTCATTCATAGAAAGCGCTGCGTGTGGGACTTACAGTGTTCTGTTGTAATTGATTGATTGATTGATTGCATGTATGTATGTACGCATGTATGTACGTATGACTTTAGATTACACTGTGGGCCCCGAGGGCCGGGGGCCGAAGCCGAAACACAGCGCAAGGGTCGGGAGCACACAGCACAAGTCGCGGCTAGTCTTGCGTGCTCCCGACAACGACTCAGACTGCCAACACTCTACGTACGTATGTATGCACACGCACGAGTGCTGCAATCGCCGGGGACGCCCGTCCTTACATTCACTGATGGCCATTCCTTTCCCTCGTGTAAGCAAACAAAACAACATTATCACATTCGATGAAGCCCGTACGGCACCGTACCTGCATGTTGAAAAACTTGAGCGCGATGCCGTAATCCACGAGGTTGTCATTGAGCCAGGTCGCATAGTAGCTGGGTACCATACCCGGTAGCCACACCTCGACGCGGCCATTGCCAGCAGCGGTGCTTGAGTTGGCGGCTCCGTTTGTGGTTGTGGTCGTTGAAGGTGGTCCATGTTGGGCGCTCTGCGGGTGCTGCGAGTTACCGGAAACGTTGCGCCGCTGCTCTCGACGCCACTTATTGTTCACAAGGTAAAACTGTACAAAGATACCTAAGGAAAGGAAAGGAAAGGAACGGAAAGGAAATAAAAGCAGACAGGTGACAAAGGAAAGCTAGGAGGGACATAAAGCAAACAAGAAATCAATTCTTTTCATATTAATAAAAATAGAAAGGAAAATAGGAAATGCTTTGGAGAAAAGGGGGAGGGAGAAGATATGGAAACATCCGTTGGAATGCCATAACGGTCAACCAACCAATCAACTGAACACAGGACGACACCATCTATCCCGAGTGCATGCGCCGTTAGAGAGCAGCGGGCACAAACGAACAAGGAACTGCGAACCACCTTAACCCCTTTAAAAAAACCCTCCCTCTTGAACCTTAAGAAATCAGCAACTATGCAAAAAATGTGTGCGGAGATACAGAAGGCGAATCGCCCAGTTACAGGCTTAAATAACCTATCGAGTCCGGATCCAATTCAGATCTGGATCAGAGTACGATAATAAGAAAAATAATTCATACCTGGCTGGTAGGTCAATTGCATGCTTTGCGTGTCGGGCAAACTGCAGTCGCTGGCCTGCGGAGATGAAGGAAACGAAACGAGGGAATAATCGAAAAACAAGAAACCAAGATGACCAGTCATATGCCAAGACGTTAACATTTTTTAAGGCATCTTCCCCCTGCTCTCCCAGATGCTAACGTCTTCCACTTTCTTCCTTCTGCAAGAAAACCATATTACCAACATTCAGTGCCTACTGAAGAGTATGATTACGCGTTCTAGTAACCTGGCCTGTTCATTTTGTTACCGCACTGAAATCCTAAATCCCCACAAAATTTGCGCTGGCGCCTCCGTTAGCTCCGTTAGCTCCGTTAGCCAACACTGACTGGCTGATGTTTAAAAACAATATATCCTAGGACGGATTCCCACGTTTTTGTCCAGCCAACAACTTTGCCCGGGTTTCAGACCGCCCTCACAGAGCATTCATGAATTTATATCTGTAATAACGTATATCGTCCGCGTCAGTCAATGTACGCAAGCAACGTTTCCAACTCCCCATTATGCCCCGAGCCGCGATGACCCTCGCTCGGATCTCTTCTGCCAACTCGCCACCTCCGCGAGCTCAACCATGTTCGCAACACGGTTCTTTTCTTCTTGCGCAAGTCGCCTAGTCCCGTACTTTACCTGCACTCCCAGACTGAGTTCCAGTTGCTCGGCTTTGCTGAGCATTCGTAGCGCCGAAACCCAGTATCCGCTGTTGGCGCAATCGAGAAGCAACACCAACCGCTGGCTGTGTTTACGATAACGTTGCCATAACGTGGATAGCTCGCGGAAGCTGAGAACGCAGGTTCCGCTGGCACCACTGACGCCGCCGCCGCCGCCGCCAGCAGGGGCTCCGCCGCCGCCGCCGCCGCCGGAGGTTCCGCTGATGCTGCCGGCACTGGCGCCCGGGATCTGCACGTGCCGTTACGCATACAGTACATGGCATTAGAAGTCATCAGCCCTCCCATGCGTGAAATTCGATTGAGAATGTGGTGGGCTTACATCATGCTTGCATGACACGACGTGACTTTTAGTAATTCCGAGCTACTGTGCAGTGCAGCAGCTAACTTTTTCATGCGTTTTCAAGCAGAGACCTTCCGCGCTATGAAATCCCACAAGTCCCACACATCCCACCCATTTGTGTGTGGACCCGAACATCCCTCAAATCAAAGCCCTGCATATGGGGCTCCTCGGACTCCCCCCTGCTTTTCCCGCACACCTGCCCAGTCGCCAGTCGCCAATTGCCCCGCTCATCGCTCGGCCCACAGTACGACACCAAAACTACGGGAGCGTTGGAGTGCTTGAATAGCTTCGTCAGCTTAGCAAGGACCCTGTCGCGGGTTATAAGGCCTGTGGGGTGGCAGTTAGATAATTGCGGTTAAAACGGTTGCGGTTAACAGGTACGGAGCTTCTTGACCCAGATCGCTGAGACTACTGTCTGACGATAGCGTTTTGGCACGCTACCATGAATTCCGTTGACAAGTTCCAGCCCTTGGGACAGCAACCGCCAACCAACCGCCGACCAACCAACGACGAATCTAGAAGATACATCGTATACAACAATCCATCCCAGAACCATTTTAATAGGCCTCCTAGGAACGGCGCCGCGCCCGCCTCACTCCAGCAGGATTGCTTTATCAGGCGGGATGACATGCTCCTTCCGACATGCACAGGACTTCGCATCCTTGTGGTGGATGGGAAAACAGCATCACACCTAGCCCGTGCCAAAATTCCCAGTCCGCCGCCGGTTCACTTCCGCGCCTGCCCAACGTACCATCCTCCCCTGCTGTTAGAAATGAAACGCTGGGATAACCCCCCAGGTTCTTGATAAAGTGCGAAAACTGCCGCTGGGCATCAACTTCCGCATTATCTTGAGGCAAAGTGGAACCGGCGCCGCTGCCAAAGTGCTACGAGCGGCGCAGACCGGGAGGGATGCACATGGTAAGCACAGCAATCGACGTAAGGGGAGCTTTTCCAAAGCGAAGACACAACCCTATACACCTCTGCCGTTTTATACAGTCTGGAAAAGAGGCATGTCCTTGTCGTCACGCTGCTTCCTCGCTTGCTCTCTTCTACTGCCGTGTCCATGGCTGGACGAGACGGACGCGGCATACCTGAAGCAAATGTCGGAGCGCCCTGAAGGATGTTTGCGATACAGGACCGCTGCTCTTTGTGACTGAATGTCCGACCTGGCTAGTGCTTGGCGAGCCTTCGTCCGGGGTAACTTCGTGAGCTGCAATCTCACAGTAAAGTATGTGTTTCAGTATTCAGTTGTTTGGTGCCCAAGCAGTTTGCCGAAACAAGAATTCAAGTACATAGCCGCATGGCCGTCACTAGCTCACCAAGAAGAGCCTGCAGCTGATGCGCCTCTTTCCCTTCAATAGCCAAAGTAATGCGGCTATAGTCGCCGATGCAAAGCGCAACCAAGGTGTTTGGCGCCTGCGGAAAGGTATACGAATTATCAGAAAGCGATTTATCGCAGGTTACTTTCACGAGAAGAATAAAAGACCTTGCCTTGCTCTTTCCTTGCCCGAAAATCCTCTTGAAAAAGGGCATGTTTCAAGCCGGGTAAACTAACGATAACGACCAATCTGCATGGTAACACGTTGTAAAACTATAAGATGGCGATAACTCGCGGTATGGGATTGTCGGCAAACAAAGAAGATAGTGGGGAAGTCGGTGTACGACCACGACTGCCTGAGCTTAACAGAGTCTATTCTGTCATCAGACAAACCGCGGATGAATTCAATAGGGGTACGAATGCACACTGGAAGCTTTGGCATGTCCTTAGCAAAGCAGGTATGGCCTTCGCCCCGCGGGTCTGATTGGGGCGGCGTTATGTGTGGGACTTTTCAACGGCGCTTGAATATATCAGTATTTCCATGAATTCAACAATGCGGTTGAAGCGATGATGGGAGTTTATGCACCCTCGACAGAGGTTAGGCGAAGTTGTTCGGAAGCTTGGTCCCGCTTTGCACCTGGCCATGGAGACTGTTGTACAGGATATACCGTGAAGTGGATTGCTGGCTTGCAAAGGCTGTCCGACACCACATAGCAGATAGACTGACTCGACTCGCGACTGCTTCCTGGGGACTTTTTGCCACTTAATCATGGGTATCGATCTTGACAACCTAGATAGACTGATTCGACCTGTGATTGTTTCCTGGGGGGTTGCGGACGTTTTGCCACGTTATCCTGGATATCAATGTTAACAACCTATTAAGGGACTGCGCGGGGTATACCTTTCATCCCTTCCACTCATGGTGTCCAACAACCTCGCCATCACTGCATAACTCAACAGTAAGCGCTAAATCCTCGGATGATCTCAAATTCAATCAATACAAAACAGATCAACAAACGACAACAGGCCTTTGACTGTTTGCGCTCCTGTCTGACGCAATCGGAGCTGCACTTTCGTACGCGTTGCAGCGAAAACTTGTTGTAAAGATCACCCATGGCACCCATCAAATTACATCAAGCAAATAGCTAAGAGCTCCTTCACATTTGTCCCTATATAAAGTCATCTTGCAGGCCACGCCGCTTTCCATTGGTATACTTCCCAAACACCTCTCTAAGCCTGCCTGGAAGGACCTCTAAGAGAAATCAATTTAACGTTATGGACCCTGAGCATCCATCATCATCCGAAGCGCAGCAGCGCCCTATTGTGCATAGACTGGCCGTAGAACCTCTTCGCCGCCTAGCCCAGGCCTGTTGGAGCTGCGGACCCCAGGTCAGGACGCCACAGCACGCGACGCCACTTCATCACTGCATTCACTTTCTGACCTCCACATGTTCGCAAACACAGCACGTTCCGAGGTTAAACATGCGGCTCCATAACCACTATGCGTCCCCCTTTCGCCCCACCGCCCCATGGGTCACTAAATGCCATCGCGGCCGCCGGCGCCCACGGTTGCGTTCATTTCGCGAAGTCAAAACACGGCGAATCTCCTATTCTCATGGTTTCCTCCCTCCCCTCCCCTCCTCTCTTCCCATGTCCCGCAGCATCTAGCGTACGAGTCGACGCTCCGAAACCAACCACAGCCACGGCAGCCCCAACTGGAAGCCGGTTCCTGTAGTGGTTTCGGAGCGGACGCGGCAGTGGTGACCGCCGCCGGCTGGGCCGGCACAGCTCCAGGGCATGGACCCCGTCCGTCTGTACAGCCAACGGTCCAACCGCCGCAACCGCCGTTAACGAAGCATGGGCTTGATTCCCAGGGTCAGTGGCGCGTGGTTTTGGATGTTCAGGGAGAGCTCCGGAACCGACCAGGAGCAGGAGGTGGAGGGTTTTCGGAGCGAGTGAAAAAGTGGTGCGAGTCACTGTGCGTTGGTACGGCGTCTTATGCTGCATTCTGGCGGTGGCGGTGGCGGTGGAGAGCCCTGCGGCAGCGGCGACGGCGGCGGCGGCGACAGCAAACTGGAGTTGACGAAACGGAAGCGGCGACGATGCCGTCAGAGCAATCGACGTCTCGCTCTGGAAGCTGGAGCCGTTCCAGTGGTGACGACGGTGACGACGGTAACGGCGCCGCCACCGCAGCGACCGCCGCCGCCGCCGCGGCGGCGGCGGCGGCGGCGCCGGCAGTTGACCCGCCCGCCACTGGGCCCGCACCTGCCGGGAACGACATCACCACTGCGAAATATAATCTGATTACCTTCGCACCGGTATTTTTGTTCGAGCTGTTCTTACGAGTGGCGTATTTGTACTTTTTGCTGCAAGCGGCTCTATCTTGGTGGAAAGTGGTGTCACCGTTTTCTGGAATCGGCAGTACCGCGGCGCTGGTCTTCGTGGTGGCAGTCAGTGCGATCAAGGTACCCGTACGGCCGTACGGCCGTACGACAAGGGTAGCTGTCTTAGCCAGCTAGCACATTTTTGCCAAGGAAAAAAATTGAAATCTTGCCATTTTTTTCTTTTTCTGAAATGTTACTACTGGGACCTGCAATCGAGTTGTGTCGCGGCATACTTCGCTTCTAGACTGCGAAACTTGACAATTGATTGATTCAGAAAGAAGGGCATTCATCCCTCGTGACCATCTGTTGCGACAACTCAAAATTTTCCCATGTTTTGACCGACGAAATCGCGCCAGCCAGCTATTATGTTTTGGCCTAGTTCAAATCCCGGGATGGCAAAAAAAAGTAGCAGTGGTTGCCATTTCAGCATGCTAGTCACGCTGCGTACGATGAGTGTGGATCTATTTGGTGGGAGGCAAATCTCGTCCAAATCGTACATATAAGTACATCATTATTTGCACCAGCGTATATGCAAATTTTTGTGGGCGTATGTTTCCGTGTTGTTGTAGAGGCGACAGCTGTAAGGTTGCCTCTGAATGGAAGCGCTGGTGGTGAGTTGCCCAGGCTGACTGGCTACAGCCTTGATACTGCTGTTGGAAATCGTTGGTATTGCTACTGCTGCTTGCTGCAGCTAGGAAAAGCTACTTTTTTGCAAATTTATCTTTATTTCTTCTGTGTTTTTCTGCAAATTGATTTCACTTTTCCGCATACCTGTAATTTTCCATGTTTCGCTGCTGCTGCTGCTGCTGCTGCTGCTATTGCCGTCATTCGATTAGGCAGCAGTGGAGGATGTACGGCGGCACCTGGAGGATCGGGCAACTAATCTAGCGAGGACAAGAAAGCTACAGCCCGACGGTGCGAGAGTCAGGAGAAGGAATGGGGCGAGGGGGGGAAGGATGCTACAGCCAAATGAATCGATGCTGGAGGATCTCCGAAACCTACGTTTCCGTACTCCCATGTTTTGCCGTACTACACATGTTCTCTGCCGCTGACACAGGAACGATTGCGGAGGTGCTATGGAAAGACGTGCGCGTTGGAGATGTGCTAGAGGTACGATAGTCATGTAATGATAGTCGTACAGGGCTGTACGGCATAATACCGCAGCGCAGGACAGATAAGCACAGTTACCGTACAGTGCAAGCGTTTCGTTGACCTCGCAATTAATGTTTGGGCGAGGGGCCCCGGGGGCGTGAAGCGCCTTTCGGGCGGTCGAGCCCCCCCGGGGTTCACTGCTGTCAGTCTGTCAGTCAGTCAGTCAGTCAGTCAGTCAGTCAGCGTCGTGTCTCATGATGATACTCGCTTGCCACACTGGACTGAGAATTGCAATTAAAAGCTACTACAATTCATGATCGATTCACTGAGGGAATGAGTTCAAATACATCTGTAGGCGAAGATAGCTTCCCGCGAGCCGTGGCTTTGACTTCACCTACCTCGCATCTTCCGCTCCGTCTCACGTTCACATCTTATACATGTCCTATTTATTCTCCAGTTCGACTGGCAATGGGGAACTGGGTTCGCGCACTACCAGGGGGGTATAGATATGCTCAGCAGCCGTTCTTGTTGCGATGGAGGCGGTACGCAATGCAACGTCCTTGACTTGGCATTGGCACCTTCGCAACTATTTACAACAGGTAATGTACATCATGCATCGCTCCAACACCGCCGGCCGCCGCACCCGGCCCTTGCAGCTATCCATAGTCATGACTGTATGTATGTATACAGTCCAAACACACGGCATCGTTCCTCCGCTCGCAGCCCAGTGCCGTACAGCCTCCTCCCCTGCGGAATACTGCGAGGCAACTGCTGGCTGATAGACCGCGGCCGAGGGAGAGCCCTTTTCGGCTTCCAAGCAGAGCTGACTGCCCTCATCCCCGCTCCCGCCTCCTCATGATTCCCCTCTCCCTTGTCCCTGTTCATGAAAATAATTTGCCATCTACTTCTTGTCGCCCTGTCGTGAAAATCAGGTACGAGACGGTGAGCTACTGCCGGCTGACTTGTTGCTACTGCGAGCCGGCCTGGTAGAGGGTATTGCGTTTGTGCGTACGACGAATTTGGATGGGGAGACCAACCTTAAAGTACGGCGTGCTGTACGGCTGCCCGGCTGGGACGAGCAAGGTAGCGGGGTCTCTCGGGGCGAGGAGGACGACTCGCGTGGTGCCGAAGGTGGGGCCAACAGCGGTGGCGGCAGCAGTAGCAGTAGCAGTAGCAGCAGTACCGACGGCGGCTGCGGTGGCAGTAGCCGTAGCAGTAGCAGCGTGCGTGGTGAGGGACAGCGCAACGACGGCAGTAGCAGACAGAGCGGCGACGGCAATAACGGCAGTAGCAGGAGTGCTGGTGACGCCGCCGCTGAGCCCTTTGCTACTGCCACTGCGGACCTCCGAGATACGCATTTGAAGGTGGGCTGGCGTACGGTACGGCCAACGTATTTTTCCTTGTATAAAATCACACTCGCCACAGTCTTTTCCCCCCTTCTCCCTTCTCCCTCCTCCCTTCCCCCTTCAGCAAGACATCAACAACACACAACACTTACGCAACCTCACCGCCGCCACGCCTTGCCGCCTTGACGGCACCATGCATGTGCAGGTCCTTACTGGAGTCCGCGGACTGGTGCTGTGCGAGGGCCCCAGCCGCAGCCTCCACTCCTTTGCAGGCGGCCTTCAGCTAGAGCTTCCACCGCCACAACCACCAGTGACGATGGTGCTGACCCACGGGTCGGAGCCCCCTGGCGCCATTGCGACCCGGCGGACGGGGCGGGAGGACAGGACGGCCGCTGCAGAGGAGCCGGCGGCGGCTGCGGCTGCGGCGGGAGGTGGTGGTGGTGGCGGCGGCGTAGGCTGCGGTGGTGGCGGTAGTGGCGGCACTGCCTCTGACGCCATTACATCGCCGCCGGCGCCTGTGCCTCTGGCGATGGATAACCTGTTGCTTCGGGGCTGCGTATTAAAGAACTCTCCGTGAGTTTCGGGGGGCAGGGGGGAGAGGGGGGAGATACGACAAAACACAGACGATTGACGAGAAGAAGGCACCATGGGCAAGGCAGGGTGGGGGAGGAGGGGGGAGGGGATTTGGGAGGTTTCATAATGGGGCATCCAACGGGGTTTGGATGGGAACGACTGACGGGGTAAGACAGGTGGTCATTTGTAACAGGGTAATACAGAAACAGGGGTTACGTTTTTATTTATCCGATCACGAACCCCGCCACCCGCGTGCGTCAAATTTTAAGATGGGAATCTTTGTCGTCGCGCGCGTCCTGCGTCCTCCTTTGCGCCGCTGCTCTGCCACCGCAACTGCGCAGGTATGTGTTCGGGCTTGCGATTTACTGCGGGAACCAAACGCGGATCCAGATGAATGCCGTACGCCCATCCTTGAAGGCAGGTCTGGGATGATGTTACATCGCTGTAAGAAGAGTTTCCTTCGAACAACTTTGTTCTTTGATTGGAATTCGTCACTTTGGACGCCACTGTGGGTGGCGATGTTGCAGAGGAGCTTGGAAAGGAATACATGATAAGTCATTAAGCAGCCCCTCGCACAAATGTGTCCGGTCGTACTTCGCGAATAAAAGGTCCGTACATCACGCCCCAAAAGCCAGGAGCGAATTTCACCGCGCGGGTGCGCGCGTGCGATTCACAAATTGCGCGTGTACAAGTGTATATATTTTTTTGGCGAAAAGGCCGAGGTGCGCCAGCGCGTTGTGCAGGTGGGCATGTTAGAAACAGCCGCACGCGGAATGCAGGCCGGACTATTGCGTGGCTGCTTTGCAGTAACAAAAGCACCGAAAGCCAACGTCGTAGCTTGCAACTCTGGGCTCGTGAAACTGCCGCGGAAGATGAAGCGCTGGCGAAGAGGCAGTTGTATGCAGCACCTTGTTCAGAGTAAAGTCAAATTACAAAGTTGCGCAAAGTATAACATACATAAACTTAATTAAACATAAGAACAGATAAGACGTTTAGAGCCTTGTCGGTGACATGGACGCCGCTGTTGGCTTGGAACAGCTATTTGCTGTGCATAGGGACGTGCCCGCGTTAGCCGTGTTGCAACAGCTCAGGATGGATTTCAGCCAGCAACAGCCTCAAGAGCTGCTGCACAACCACCGGGAATGTCTTCAGTTGGGCAACGTACGCAATGCAAAGGTGCAGCGAAATGAAGGGGGGGTCGCATCTCACCATTCAACTAAGCATGCATGTGCTCGGTTGAATGCTCGGTAGCGTGCGAGTTTACCCCTATCAGGGTGTTTGTTTGCATATCCCTCCAAGCGAGAGGGCTTGCACCTATGCTGATGTTCGTTCCAAGAAATGAACTGAGGACTGATGCTACGGTGAAAGATTTGCACGTAAATTCGCCCGTGCAATAAAACGCCCTGTAACTCGCTTACGCTAATCTCACATTCCAATATGCCACTGCACTTTCCTCTCCAGCCTGGCCACATTCTCTTCCTCGCAAACGTACTTGGGCACCTTACAATCCAACACCATACGTGCTTTAGAAACGCGGGCAGCTGCTTCACAAGGACCCCCCTATTTTGTCGTCCACATAGTTGTATATGAAGTTCGGCTGGTATCTTGCTCGTCCATGATATCTCTCTCGTCCATACCCTCTTTCTAGTCGCCAGCTATCTTCGGTCTATCTCTCTCGAACTCCAGCTATACCGTATATTGCGATCTTTTGTACCATTTTCCTAGGTTAAAATATCCTTTTCGTATCAGTATCGTTTACAATCAGTCATAAGCATTATGAAAACAGCGCAGTATGTCTTTGTCGCGTATCAGGTGATCTATTTGCCTAAGGTTGTAAGGACAGCGAAGATAAGAATTTGACAAAAAACATTGAACAGAGAGCAAGAGAAATATAAGTATGTCATACCGTACTTTCAAAATAAGACACACTTGGCTTCTCCGTGGCTCCTGCACGTATCTTGCACTTTTTTGTTACATTTCGCACCAGTTGCGCCGATGAATGGTGCTGGCCTGGACCTGGAACCGCCTTACACCCTGCAAGCTGGTTTCAGACATGCTATGCTGAGCTATGGGGTGCACAATTTAGGATTCTTGCTCTCGCATCTGTTGCAATAATAATATTTTTGATTCTAAAGACATTTTTTGGTCTTTTCCTTCAACTTCACAATTTTTTACTTCCCGTCAGCTAAATGCGTTTTGCCCTGCATACGGTATGACTGACTCAGGTCGGATCTTTCGACAGGTTCCTAAACAAGCAGATCATGATTTTGCTGGTATTGCAGGTATAGTAATTAGCCGGTGTTGGAAGGTTCTGAGTTCCGACTTTCCGAGCGAGGATTGAGCATCTGAAAGCGACTGGGCGGTTGGGTGGTAAAGGGCAGTTGGTTACCTTGTACGGGTAGAGCATTCTACATCATATTGCCCTTTTCCCAAGAGATTTAAAAGCTACACTTCGCATTTAGTATGTGTCTTCATTTAATACTTCGGCTTTACGTTTCCCTTCTGGATTCGATTACTCTTCTCTTTTTTTCATTAAAGCGGTGCAGTACAGCTGCCGTACACACCTTCCCTGTGCCTGGCTCGCAGCTACTGTTGTCTGTGGCATCTGCAGTGGTGAGCTGGGTATGGCGCGAACACGCCGGTGTACGGCGGCCCCATCTGGCGCTGGACGATCCCGTACAAGGCAACTGGCAGTCGCCGGTGACGTACATTGTACTGCTGTCCATCACGTTCTGGATTCTGTACGGCTATCTCGTCCCGATCAGCCTCTTCGTCACGATGGAGCTCGTCAAATTCTGGCAGGTACGTCAGCTCTTTCCTCCGTACAGCATTCCGGCGGAGGAATGTCCGATGTCGTGTATGGGGAATACTGTTGCATCACGACTACACCTCTCAGAAAAAGAACAACCTGTCGGGGCGGACGGCAGAGCCCCATGACTTGATGACACGCCCTCCTCAGGATGCAACAAAAATACTGTCCATGAATTTTGGGATTCCAGACGTCATGTACATACATACGTACATACATACATCTCCCGTACTTATGACAGGGCATAAATGTTACACATACACACACAAACACACACAGACAGACACGCAAATCACATATGCGCTGTCGTACTGCGTCTGAACAAGCCGCCGTCTTGAGGATTTTGGGTTTGCACTTTGAATGTCGCCGTACGTACGCCGTATGCTTGTAGGCTTTTGTGTTCATCAATAACGATCCGGTGTTGAAAACGAACACGGAGTGGCGCCAACAGCAGAAATTGGAACCAGAGCATCTCCCACAGCACCAGCAGCACCAACACCAACAGTACCAACACCGGCACCGCCATCTCCACCATCATCAGCAGCAACGGGTTCACAGGGCAGCCGGTCAGCAAGGTCTGGACGAGCAGTCCATTCAGGGGCCTCGAGGACACCCTCACCAGCATCACCACAACCCCCCAGCGGTTATGGGGCCATCAGCCATGCATGGTGGTGGTGGTGGTGGTGGTGGTGGCGGCGACGGCGGCGGCGGCGGCGGTGGCGGTGCTAACGGTGCTGATGGCTCCACACATGCATTCGCTCGCAGCAGTGCTGTCAATGAGGACTTGGGTCGTGTTGTGATGGTGTTCAGCGATAAGACGGGCACCCTCACGCGCAACGATATGCGGTTTAGGTGCTGCGCTCTGGGCGAAGAGAGGTACGGCGTACGGCAGTCACTGGAGGGCAATCAGGGGAAGAAGGGTCCCAACGGGAAAATCGACCTGCTTAACTGCTTTTTTCAAACTTTCTTTTGCTTTCAAGCGTATTTTATTTAGTGTTCGAGTACTCTGCGATATGTTTTTTGTGAAATGTTTTTGTTGGTGCTTAGGGTTTTGTACGGTTTTAGTGCCTATGAAGATTTTAGGGTTTTCGGGACTCTTTAGGTAACAAATCTCCCTTCTTTTAAACATATCTTCGGAAGGGCTTGTAGGTGTGTGGAGGAATAAAAATGTTTATAAACAACTTTCACATATATCCCTACTACTTCTGATGCCACTTTCACCATAGGTACGGCAGCCTTGATGTACGACTGGAGGAAAGGCCTGAGCTCCAGGGCATGGAGGCAGTGGTAGCTTTCGACGCTCGGTTGCCGCAGGTAAGCCGTCTAAAAATGGCTCGCTAAACTATGCCGGCCATCTATCTACTGGCCTAATAAAATTAGGTAGGGATGATGCATCATCATTACCACTGATATGAGCGATATGAGCACCAACAAGCAGCCTAAACAACATCTTCATCGAAATGATTTTTGACAAAATGAAACAGGTTCAAGTGGTAAACAAATCAGGTCTCAAAGCTCAGATCCGATTACGTGCCAGCTTTTCCAAATGATAAAACGTGACAATGTGGCTTTGTTACAGAGGTACTAACTTCTGCATATGTTCTGCAAATATTTTTCTTTATCTTTTTATTCTCTAAAATGTTACGTATTCATCTCTTATCCAGTCTATCTGTCTATCTGTCCATCTGTCTGTCTATCTATGGAACGAGGGCTGCCCCCGCTTGCATAAAAATCTTGCTGATGGGCACAGTCCATGCACGCCATTTTTTGCCGGGGCCCATTTTTTCAGTCTGCTCCTTATTTACGGAGACTCCTTAGAAACACGCTCTGTTACACCAAACAACACGTCCCCTAAACCTTCTTGCCGCAGGCACTGACGGCTTTGATCCAATCAGGCACCTGGCATTCAGCTGTGGGTGGTGGTGGTGGCGGCGGCAGCTCTACCGCAGCCACAACCACCACAACCACCACAACCACCACAACCACCACAACCACCACAACCACCACCACTCCGGACCATAGATCCATGCACCTTGCGGGCGCCGTCAGTGACCCACCTTTTAATCCAGATTCAAATATAAATCCAGTTCCAAATCTGGATTCTGAGCTGCAGCTGCTGGGCCGCCGCTGGTTGTCATTCTGGCTCGGAGTGTGTGTATGTAACTCCGTTGTCCTGGAGCCGCACCCCTCCAGGGGGGACCAGCCCCCTGCTTTCCAGGTAATGTCGTCAGTGTTTTTTTTTCGTTTTGGGCCTAGTACCCTAGAGTAATAAACTGGGTGTTTCTTGCGGTTACAATTCCTTTTTGTATAGTCGCTGGGGGGGGCTGCGCCCCCCCCAGACCCCCCCTCAAAGGCTGTACGGTGTGCTGTAAACAACACCTGACGTCTGGAAACAAACATGCCGTACCACCATCGTATGCTTGTCTTCTGTATTATCTAATTCTTCTTCTAAATGTTTGGGGCATTGCGTCTGCGGAGTTTCTGAGCCGTTTGCTTTGGTCAAGAATGAACGAATGCCCCGTTGACCTAAGTTGAATACAACAGCGGGCCGTCTCATGGCGATATAATAAAATATTCTATACATAAATAGTGTATAAGCTCCCAATGTTCAGCTTTATATGTGCAGAAGGCATTTGGGGCGACTTATGGCCGAAGTAATGAACTAGTACGGATAACTGACCAATTATTCCAATTATTCCATTTCTTCCAGGCTCAGACCCCCATTTATTCCCAAAAAAGTATTATATTACCAAAAAAAAACTGCATGTCGTACACAAGGCCGTTGTGATTTGTGTACATCAAAACGAGATGTACACTCGTGCTTTATTATTTTTTCTGCGCGCCATCGTAAGGCGGCGCCGGGAGTTGAAAAGGGGCAAACAGGAAATGCTAATACATGCAGTCGCACTCGCTGCACCTCATGACCCATGGGTCGTATCCCGGATCCGCATTCAGGGTCCTTCCCCTGACGAGGTCGCGCTTCTGGAAGCTGCTCGGCAGCTGGGATTTGAGCTAGCGGCGAGGCGGGGTGACCAAGTGGAGTTGAAACTGGCTTTGCCGCCCTCGCCAGCGCCGCCACCGGCACTACCGCCTGCGGCACAGCGAGGTGACGGCACCGGCACCGACGCGCCGGGACCGGATGAGGAGTCGCTGCCGCCGGTGGCTGTGGTGGTGCGTTATCGCATCCTCAACGTGCTGGAGTTCACCAGCGCACGAAAGTGAGTGGCTGAGCGTGGGGGGGGGAGGGGGAGAGGAGGGGAGGAAGAAAAGGAGGAAGGGAGGGAGGGAGGGGAGGGACGGGGAGGGAGGGAGAGAGAGAGAGGAACTCTTGTTTACGCCTTTCAAGGGAGGTTGTCTTCGGCTCTGGTTTCGGAGGTCTGGTAGGATTTCCGGTAGGTCTCAGCGCGGTGCTGAGGGGGCGAGATGTACCTAGCTGGAAGTGGGCAAGTACGGCAGTAACGGGGCCCCCTCCCAGCCCCTCCCCTCTCCGCCTTGGGTTGCCTCAACCCCCCCGGGAACCACCCAGCCCGGTTCTTGCCTCCGCTTTCTCATGCGCCTTGTGTTCCTGCTTCACTGGCTCACTTACACCGCCTCCTCCTCCGCCTCCTCCTCCTCCTCCTCCTCCGCCTCCTCCTCCGCCTCCGTCTACCCCCCCCCTCGCAAGACGCATGTCTGTGGTGGTGGAGGCTCCCGACGGCTCTCTCGCCGTACACACCAAGGGAGCGGACAGCGTGGTGCTGCCTCGGCTGGCGGCGGCGGCAGCGGCGGGAGGATCTGGCAGCGACAGTGAGGATATTCGGGTGGCGGCTGCTACGGAGAATCTGCACTACTTTGCAACGCTGGTAAAAACATATTATTATAATTATTCATTAATTATTACTATTATTCATTTATTTATTTATTATTATTGTCTTATCGCTGAAAGGAAATGGGAGAGAAGGGGTCAGGAGAGGGGCTTGTTCCTCTACTGAATGGAACCATTGGAAGTGTGTGTGTGTGTGTATGTGTGTGTGTGTATCTGGAAGTCCTTGCGTCAGAGAGTTCGTACATGCTCGTACATCTACCCTTCCCACCGCCCGCTGCGCCATCTGGCTATTGCGCGACGTACGCTCTTCCCGTACATTGTTTACATGTACTGCAGGGTTTGCGAACATTGGTATTAGCTGCGCGGCCACTGCCAGATCGGAAATGGTACGACAATTGGGATGCACGGTACCAAGAAGCAGCTGCTGCAGTACACACCGACCCACGGGTCCGTGCAGCCGCGCTAGACAGCCTAGCGGAGGAGATCGAGCGGGAGATGCAGCTTGTGGGAGTTGCGGCCATAGAGGATCAACTACAGGTAGTACGGCATTATTATTATTATTATTATCATTTACTAATATTACTGATAGTATTAATAATAATAATTAGTAACAATATTATTGGACGATGAGAACTCCGCAGCGAGTTGGGGGTCCACTGTAACAATCGCATTCTCCGCAGCGATCACCATAGGACATCTCTAGCATTGCTGTATCTACATATTTACATACATACATACATGACTATTTCTTCACCTTGAAGCTCTTGAACCTTATGCATCCCCACGTAACCCAGACGTATAGGACTGTCCTCGCTGTACGCCGCGCAGGATGGTGTGCCCGAGGCGGTGGCTACGCTGTTGGCGGCCGGTGTGCGTGTGTGGATGATTACGGGGGACAAGTTGGAGACGGCGGTCAACATCGCCCGAGCCGCCCGGCTGGTCACTCAGCCACATGACTCCCAACTGTTGGTGCTCCGGGAACACGAGGAACAGGGTGGGTGGCTGGGGGGGGGTGGGGTAGGGGTTGGAGGGGTGGGTACGGGGGTGGGGGAGTGGGTATTATTTTCCGTTCTGCACTCCCTTACCTGCCGCCGCTGAACCCCGCTGTGCCGTACGCTGCTGGTTAAAATTATATCCGCTGCCATGCCACAAAATCGTGATAGCCATTCGGGAGCGACTGCGTTCCCTCTCCCGCCGCGCTGCTGCCATCAACGCCGCCGCCGCCGCCGCCGCTGCCGTCACGAGACGTACGGTAATGCCGCACGACACCACGGGCGCCCGCGCCGCCGGCGCCGGCGGCGAGGATGACAACGTCCACGAGCCGACGTCACCGCCAAGGCATGCAGCGGGGGAAGCCCATGTGCCGTACACCGTCGACACCGCGACGACAACGGAGCTGGTGGTTGACGGCCGTACACTGGACATGGTTTTGGATCGGCGGCCGTTAGCCGCACGGTTAGCTGCGCTGTGCGCGTCCTGCGCGAGTGTCGTGGTCTGCCGCGCGTCGCCAGCACAAAAGGCCGCGCTTGTACAGCTTATGCGTGACTATCGGCGGCGGCTGGCCGCGGCGCGGCGACGGCGCCGCTGGCACTGGCTGACTGGCGGGGCCAGCGGCGGCGGGGCAGCACCGCCGCCGCTGCCGCCGCTACAGCGGCTGCTACAGCGCTGGTGGGGATCATGCTGTACGGCAGATAGACGAGCACGTAATGACGACCAGAGAGGGTTTTGTGGCAATGATGGCGATGGCGACGACGAGGAGGTCGAGAAGGAGGAGGTGGGTGGAAGTGCTGCCGCCGACGGCGCCGGCGGCGTTGTTGGCGGCCGCGGATGCACCGACCCACGGGACCGCGAGGGGGTGCTGCTGGCCATTGGTGACGGTGCTAACGATGTGGCCATGATTCAGGCGAGTGAGTGAGTGGGTTGGCCGCGGGGTTCTTATTTTGTGCGTGTATGTATGCATGTATGCATGTATGTTGTTACAGGGTGGTTTAGGGAAACTAAAGGGGATGAACTTCGCCAGCGGCCCCCTTTCCCGGGGCAGTCCCTGCTCTCCCCTGCTAGAGGGGCACCCTAATCCGTCACCCCATCCGACTTCAGAGTGTATTCGTTGGGTTCGGCAACTCACCACCAGCAACCAACCAAATCTAGCGGATCAACGGCGCATCAACTTAGTTCCTGGTCAGCTCGCAAGTTGATATTATCACGTCCTACATCGTCCATATGATGGGGGGCCACCTCCCATTTCAACACTCCTCAAACACCCGAGGAGCCGGCAGGCGGATTTGAACCCGGGTCGGCCGGGAGCAGAAGTCAGGCCTTACCTCTGCCAGCCGCCTGCCTAAAATAGATCGTCACCAGGGGTTCGCACGTGGTCCCCCATCGTACTACTGATCTGGCCCAATGTTGCTTATGTGCCCAGTGCTGATGGGATGGGCAGTGTTCAACATGGAATGCACGATCCATGCATGTATGTATGTGCTGATTGTGTTTTTTGGGGGATGTCATGGGGGCTGGGGAGGGGGGACTGCGCGGGTTTTTAAAGGTTTCGGTTTTGGGTTGAGGGGGTGTTAGGTAGGGGCCCTGCTTGGAGAGGGCTCTTGGGGTGTGTGTGTGGGGGGGGGAAGGGGCGAGAAGGGGGGAGTTCGTGTCTCGTGATTCTGTCATCCTCACGGCTGTTGGTTGCTACTGCTGCTGCTACTGCTACTGCTGCTGCTACTGCTACTGCTACTGCTACTGCTACTGCTACTGCTACTGCTACTGCTACTGCTACTGCTACTGCTACTGCTACTGCTACTGCTACTGCTACTGCTACTGCTACTGCTACTGCTACTGCTACTGCTACTGCTACTGCTACTGCTACTGCTACTGCTACTGCTACTGCTACTGCTACTGCTACTGCTACTGCTGCTACTGCTACTGCTACTGCTGCTGCTGCTGCTCCTCTTTCCAGGCAGCAGATGTGGGTGTGGGAGTGATGGGCAAGGAGGGGCGTCAGGTGGGTGAGGACCCCAGGCGCACGGGGGGTGAGGGAGGCAGCGTAGACGACCGGGCGAACTTAACTTTTCAAGGTCGTTTGCTGTCCCTTTGTGAGTTGAAGGGTTTGTTGTACCTTGTCTATCACGCACTCTGTCAGTTTGTCACTCTGTCAGTCTGTCCGGCTGTCCGGCTGTCCTTTACCAAATTCATGAGATGGTGTTTTCGCCGAACGGTCGTACACAGATATGCCAGGTTACAGGGGGTGCCCTCTGCGGCAACCGTACATCTTTACCGGATTGCCGTACCGGTACGAACGCAGGCCGTGAACAACAGTGACGTGGCAGTACCGCTGTTTCGTCATCTAGTTCCGTTGCTGCTGGTGCACGGCCAGGTGGATAGGCGGTTGGCGGTTGGCGGTTGAGGGCAAAAAACAAATGTATGACACGTTTAGTGCTCCTCCTAAATGTCAACACACGTCGACATTTTCATTTTTCATTTGTCCACGTGTCCATGTCGATTTTACCCTGCGAGGTCTGGACCTTGATAGATACACACGCGCACACATGCACATGCACATGCACATGCACATGCACATGCACACGCGTCTATGCAAGGCGCTCACGGCGCAAACATGGACGCTCACGCTTTGGCACACATACACACATACATACATACGTACATCATGCACACGTGCACCACGCAGCTGTGCTCGGAGCGGCTGTCCCGTCTAATCACCTACTCCTTCTACAAGAACCTGGCGTACTGGGGAGTGCTGCTGATGTTCCAGTTTTATTGCGGTTTCTCCGGTAAGCGAGTGTCGTACAGCACGTACGATGCCGTACATATTGTACCGGATCTGTCATGTCGCCATATGTCATGTTGTAAAGTGCGTGTAATGAGGGAACGATGCAGCGGTGGCACTACCTACCGTGGTCCGAGAGCTCCTGGAAAGCTCGAGAAGCTTGCCTGCCTGAAATATAACTTCAGGCAGGCGGGCAGGCAACATAATTTAGCTTACATTTAGCTTGGGCAAAAACATCACAGCTTAGTTTTGTTGGTAAATAACACTACAGGTGTGGTGATTGCGGTATGGTAGCTGGGGTAAATGTACGGGCCGTCGTGTTCAACAGATGTTCAACCATTGAGATGGTGGTTAAGAACCAACCGCTTCCCAACCGAATGACTTACCCAACCACCACATCTCAGGACAGGCGCTAATCGACGATATCAGCGGCTCCTTCTACAACGTGGTCTTCACAGCTTTTCCCATCCTAGTCGTGGCGCTACAGGTACGACAGTACAGTACGGTATGGTACGGCAGAAGAGTAGTGGCTGTCGTGCACACTGAGCGCTGCACGAGCAGCTCTTCCGCCTTGCAAATTTAAACGGAACTTGGTTCCATCATCACAGTTTTTGCATCACAGTCAATTTACAATCTTTTCTTCCAATTCTGGTTCAGCACACGTCCACCTGTGTATCGATTGGTAACCTCTAGCTTTCCCAAAAGTGCCGTACCTGCCGTACTCACTGTACTGATGTGCAGGAGAGCCACGCACCTGACCCCTCAGTCACTCTTATGCAGCACCCCGAGCTCTACAACGCGCATCCCCCGCTCACCCCAATGCGGTTCTGGCTGGAAGGGATCATGTTGCCACTTTTCCACGTGAGCGCGGCTAGTGTGTGGGTACTGTTGGCCTGGCAGCTGTGCGACTTTGATATAACTTGCCTTGTGTCAATGTGACCCGTGGGTCGGTTCGGAGAGAGACGTGGCCTTACTGAGCCTGATGGGCCTGATGGTTGCCACTTCGAAGCGTGACACTCAGCGTGAATTGGCTGAGTGTGAGCCGTGGGACCCATGGGTCAGTGGACATGTGGTGAGCTCAGCTTGACGAGGAGGTCAAATGAACCAATTCTTCCTTAAAGAAAACACACAGGGCACCCCCGAGATGTGCCACAATGACCCCTCCCTGTTACCGCCATGCCCGGTTCTGGCAGAGCGCCGCCTGCTTCTTCATCCCCATGTACAGCGCCACGCCGTACGGCACTCAGCCCGCACACGTGCTCTGGGTGGTCGGCAAGGCGTCGTACATGGCGGTAGTTGTGGCGGTTACAGCTGAGCTGATGCTAACGACACGGGCATGGACGAGACTTCTTGTTGTTGTGTGTGCTCTGAGCGTGGTGGTGGCGTTCCCCTTTTTGCTGCTGGTAAGGAGTTCAGGTCCGATAATAATAATAATTTGCTGTTGCTGCTACTGCTGCTGTTGCTGCTGCTACTGCTGCTTCAGATGCTACTGCACCTGTTGTTGTTGTTACAGGGTGGTACAGCTTCACCAGCGGCCGCCTTCCCGAGGCAGTTCCCTGCTCTCCCCTGCTAGAGGGGCACCCTAATCCATTCACCCCATCCGACTTCAGAATGTTTTCGTTGGGTTCGGCAACTCACCACCAGCAACCAACCAAATCTAGGGGATCAACGGCGCCTTAACTTAGTTCCTGGTCAGCTCGCAAGTTGGTATAATCGAGTCCTACACCGTCCACAAGATGGGGGGCCACGTCCCATTTCATCAGCCCTCACACACCCGAGGGGTTGGCAGGCGGATTTGAACCGGACACTCCGGGAGCAGAAGTCAGGCCTTAATCTCTGCCAGCAATCTGTTATTGATGCATTCGGTTTTAGGGCGGATGCCCGGGGCATTATGTCCCGAAGTGCGGGATTGTAAATGCGGATTTCCGCGCCTGTGGGCATCACAAAGACAAAGTAATATACCTATCAGGAAAAATGGATGTGTTTGCTGTGTTTCTTTTTCAACAATTTCTCTGCTGGCTATCTTTGTTTCGTGTACAGGTTTGGCGGTTGGAGCTTGCTGCCGGCTATCTGGACGAAGCCACAGTGGGTGCCGCGGATCTGCTCTTCAAATCGCCGTACTTTTGGACGAGCTTGGTGGCGGTAGTAGCACTGACCGCCGGCTCTCGGTGGGTGCTGGCCGTACACCCGTATCCATTACGGGTGCCTGAGATTTGCAATTTTTCAGAAAAGTACAAGTGCTCTAGTTTAGGTAGGTCTTAACTGACGTATGGCAAGAGACGGGCTGGAGATTTCCCATGAAGACCTGAATTCTCATTCGAATGAGAATGGGAACGTAAAAGCGCGCTCATCAAAAACTGTCAGAGGTCTAATTTGATATCGCCGCGATGTATTTTTATTAACACTGCTGAAAATCCCGTACAATGCCGTATATATATCTATATTTTGCAGGTATTTAGAGCGAGCCGTGCGGTGGATTTACTTTCCAGATGCCTTCATGACGCTGGCGCGGGAGTACCGCCGCCGGCACCGCCAGCTGCCGGCGAATGAGGTGACCGCGAACAGCGGAACATAGTAGGCGCCGTCGACTCCGCCGCCGCCGCGGCCGCAGCCGCCGCCGCCGCGGAGGAAAACAGCTGCCGCCGATGCCGCCATCTTGTCGTCGTCATTGCCACTGCTAACGCGCACTGAACCGCTTTTTCCTGTCACTGCCGGCACGATCCAGGGATTTATGATCTCAGGGAGATGATAAATCCTAGTGACAGGGAAAAGCGGTTCAGTACACGTAAGCAGTGGCAGTGATGACAACATGGCAGAGAAAATGCCTGGATCCAGTGGTCAATTTAAATCTTAAGAAGGCAGTGGGTGGACTTGGTGTTAGCATTGACGGTCCGATACCAAGCGATGTGTTGTGTCTGTGTTTCAAGATGAGACCAGTTTCGAACGGCAACTAAGTGTGTGACTATTCGACACGCGGGTGCCCATGCTTTGCCGCTGTAGCAAAAGAGCGTGGCCTTAGTGAAGAAGTCCCGAAAGTTATGACGACGTACTCCGCCTGTAACGCCTGCGAGTGGGTGCCGTGATGCGCTCGTAACGGAGGCGGGCGCGGGACATTCGGCAGGAATGGGGCAGTGGAGTGCATGGGGAGACTTAAAAAGAGGTTGCTGGATTGAGTTTATCAGATCACAGCGTGTAACTGCAGGAAGCATCGTAGTGAGGGGGGGGTAACCGCTCCTTTTGACGGTTTGGCTGAGTGTCAAGCCTCAGCCGTTTCACGAGATGTACGACACGCTGTCGGTTGTCATAGCAGTAGAGGAACTGCTATGTTTGTGATATCACCAATAAAGGAATTTTAGGACGCCAAATCATGTCGCACTAGCACAGCGCCAAATGGCCCACTTGCTGCATCGCTTTGGGGCAAAAGCTTTTCTGCCACGGAAAAAAGGTGACAAGACCTTACCGCCTCTAATCACCTTCGAAAATGCTATGAAACTTAGGGAGCAGTTTTACGCAATCGGATTTTCTTGGCCTTACGAGGACATTATCCCAGGAAAGCCGCAGCTGCCCCCTGGCAGTGAGAAGTATTTAGCACGTCAACGGGAAAAGGAGTTAAAGAGAGCTGCAAGGTGTTGTTCTATATCCAGCCATGTGAAGTCGCAGTCGTCGACATCGGGCTGACACATCAGTGTACCGATGGATGTGAACTGCTCCTATGCGTGCGCAGGGAGAAAGAGATTGCCGATGCCATGGCGGCTATGCCCAAACGGATTGCGGAATATCGGGTAGGGGGTGAGGTTGGCCCGAGGCACGAAGCCGTCTGTCACAACGTTGTACTGCTCCTCTCTGAATTTTACCACACAACCACGTCCTTTGCATGACCCTGCGAACCCTCCATTCTTACTTCCTTCTTACAGGCGTCCCGCAAACTGGATTGGAGCGAGGTATCCGCCCTGGACCGGCTGTTGCTGACCCCCGGACAGATCCGGGAGAAATATATCCGGCGGCGGTGAGCTTTGGCACTCTGCAAGAAATCGTGCAGCGCATAATCGTGCAGCACATGTGGAAACGAAGGCACGGGTTCGTCTGACACTGACAAGGCCGTGGAGTGCCAAAGTCGGCGAGGGTTTAGGGAAGGACGAAGCCGAAGGGTTATCGGCCACGGGCCTGGCGGAATAGTTGTGCTGCACAGCCTCTTATCTCCTATGCCCATTCCCTTGCCTGCTAGGGTCTTTCCTGGTCTTGGCCAAGAGCCGGCATTGCCTTGCTTTTCCTTGTCGGTTCCACGTATTCCCACATTACATTCTGATGCCCGTTGCTCCGTAGGCTAACGCGCCAAAACCAATAAGCAATCCATGGATTACGGCAGTGGTATCAGCAGTAAAGCGGAGGGGGGGGCACCGACAAACATGTGATGCGGCGCTACAGCAGGGCTTACTGCAGGTGCAGATGGTACTGGTCAGGACAGCAGCAAAATAGCCAGGAGTAAAGGCACCCCCTGGAAACCGCTCCTGCTTATGGCGGCTGCGGAACAAAGAGGTGAAACTATCCATCGGCCCGGAGCAGCAGCAGCAGCAGCTTATCGCCCCCAGCAACAGTAGCAGATATAAACAGCAGCCGCAGCAGTCGTGGGATGTTCTAGGAAGTGGGCCCTCCTGGTCTACGGCTTGTCCACACCAGCACTGGACAGCCGCAAATTAGGCTGCGGTGGTGGTTAGTCAGTTTTAAGTATCCTTTGTTTGGGCTGTCTGTCGGATAGACGGGTAATAGTGGCATTTAAGGTTTGACTGTCTCTCCGGGCGACTGCGTGTCAGGGCCTCCAGAGAACTTCGTGTCGAAGCGTACAGGTGGCCCGTAGGCCCCCGACATCGATCAGAGAAATTGGTTAACAAATTGCTGCTGAGTTATGGAGGTGATGTCTAGTTGATGGATTAAGTTTCGCATGCTGAATTGGTGGTGATGGTTTATCTGTCTCTACGGATGTCTGGTGACCGGATGAGGAAGGGTGTAGCTAGCAAGACCCAGAACCGCCGTCGGTTGTACGCGAATTAACTTTCAAAATATAGAGATCATGGTCTCCTGGCTTTGATTCCCGTTCTCTTTGTCCAACCATTCTGACTGCTCTCAGACCAACATAGCACCTCTACCTACGAATGGGCAATACTGCGCAACAGTGGCTGCACCGCCCTCAATAATGATGTTGCGATCATCACGCATACCAATATCAAGGTCCAACGGTTCGAGAACGAAAAACAACCAATGAATTGTTTGAACAGAACATTCATCACACCACGTCAATCGTACGCAGTCGTACGCAGCTCAAGACGTCGCAACCTGCGGGGCACGGTCGTCTGCCGCCTGCTCCGGCCCCTTCTGAACTGTGTTTTGCAGCTGGCTGGCGCGAAGGATTGGCCGTATCGTGTTTGTGGTCTCGTCGTAGAGCACGAGGTCGTCAAGCTGACGTAACGCCGTGATGAGCATGGTGCGACTCACGCCGCTCGCTCCCGTGCTGGCCCCCTGCGCCATTCTGGAGTTGATCTCCCGCAACAGGTCGTCAACTGAAAGCGTGTGCGACATGCGCAGGCCTGCACAGTTATACGAGTGAAGGCTAGTCAAAATTAAGTTTTTCAAAGCTGTCACAGAAACCAGAATCGAGTCAGCCTTCAACTCTTTTGCAGTATGAGGGGAAGAGGAACAAGGGCTCCTGAGGATTAAGGGTTAAGTTAACAAGCGATTACCGAAGAAGCCTATTCTCATATTGCCATTGAAGCACTACAACCTAGGAAAAAGTGTTACTCCATTATTTTCTGTACTTTCATCCGTTTTACAGCTGATGCTCACCAGAGATGACACCCCGCAGCTCGTCCGGCAGCGCCCTGGCCGCTGCACGCTGAGCCGCCGTCGTACCGCAGTACAGCGTGTCGAGGTCAGGCCGGCCGTCAGACGAGCCGGATCCAGCTGAGCCCGCCATGGCGCCGTACCATAACCGTACGGCCTCAGCCACATCGGCGGCGCGGATTCGCTCGTCCAGTCGCATGCGTGCCAAGGACTCGGAGATACGAATGAGTGATTCCAACTGACGAGGGGTGGCCATCACCACCTTGCGCTCCCGGCCATCACGACGGAGCGTCTGATACCTGAGGAGCCAAGACACAAAGCAACTTATCGCCTCAATGCCAAGGAGTACGATTTGCACGCATCAAAGCAGATTACGCATGCAACAAAGCGCTGTTTGTGGGGTCTTGATGTTTAAGCTTATCCACACAAACGCGGCAACCCCGACACACGATCAACCCACGAGCAGTTTTAACCAAACACTCTCCTCCGCACACAATGCCGTACACACACAAAAAAACCGAACTGACAGCCTGCGTGCCTCCATATTCGACTCGGCCCAACCAGCACACCAGCTGTACCTGTTCACAAGCTCCTCAGCCGCCTCGTCAGTCAACTTGGGTTGGCACTTGGCACGCGAGTAGGCGATGTACTTCTTCAAAAGGTCCGGGGAAATGAGCTCCAGGGGGCCTCCCGCAGACCCCGCCCTGGAGCGGTTCTGCGCTCCTGGGTGGAACAGGGACACAAGATGGCGAGCTAGCCGCCTGTCACGAGCCTCCTCGTATCGGTCAAGAACCAGGTAGATCAGGTCAAACCTGCGGCAGGGCCAGTATTGAACATACGTATATGCCTTCAAAAGATTGGTTGAAAACAAGAGGGCTAAGCCAGTCAGCTTTCCTGTCACCGAAGCGCGTCCCGGGTGACTCTAGATAGAAAAGCCCCGTCTGGTGGCTGTCGGTGCCATATCTCTTCTGGAATCCTCTCGTAATGCTGATCAAGTGGTTTAAAAATGGTTTAAATAAAGAGCACTAAGCCAGTTAAATGGCATTGATAATGGAGTTGGGGTCTGCCTGAGGGAGTTTAAAAAGCTTGCTACACGTCGTCGGTGGGAGGGGTCATGTTTGTACTATATGCAGATGTGAGATCAGTAACAGTAACAATATCAGGTGAGGGACCGTGGGACCAGGGAAGTCAAGAGTGATGTTGAAAATTGATGTTGAAAAGGAAACGATGACGAAAAAAATCCCTAGCCTCGGACACCCCATCTCCGCCCCACCACCACCACCACCACCACTACCCCCTCGCAGGCCTCACACCTGGTCAGCAGTGTGGGCGGCAGGTTGATGTTGTCCGCAATGGACATCTGGGGGTTGTATCGGGAGCCCACAGGGTTAGCACACGCCAGCACGGAGCACCGGGCGTTAAGCGTCGAGATAAGGCCCGCCTTTGCCACGGACACGGTCTGCTGCTCCATGGCCTCGTGCAGCTATTATATACGTTGGGGTGCAGTAGGGAACAGGGGGAAGGGAAGGGAGGATTGAGGAAAAGAAAACCGAGGGAAGGGGATTGGGGAAAGTGGCGGAGGACTTAGCGGGGAACTGCAAACAAAAGTCAAGGAACAGGAGGGAACCAAGGAGAACAGAAAAAACCGTCGTAGAGCAGGGAGGGGAAGGCGAGGGGGAGACAAGACAGGGGGGGGAAGATAAGGCGGGGAGAGAGAAGGGGATGATAAGAGATAGGGATGAAAATGCAGCTGGTGGACAACCCAACCCCAGCCCTCACCTACCACCGCGCCACCACCACCACCACCACCACCACCACTTACCATGCTTCGCGCGCTGTCGCTCATCTTGTCAAATTCATCGATGCAGCACACACCGCGGTCGCTGAGAACCAGCGCACCGCTCTCCAGAACCATCTCCTTTGTCTCTGGATCCTGCAGCAGACAGTTTTTGCAATTGAAACAGTTCTCATTCAAGGTTGTCACCTCGGCTTGCATGATGCACCGCTCGTCACCGCATCGCCTCTCGTCTAGGTTCACCTGAACACACAACTACACGCACTGCCTTGGCCCCTAGTCATCATGTTCGCCTCGCACTGGCCCATGCCTCCGTCGTACTCTAAAACCCACCCACCTTTGTGTGGCCAAAGCTCCTCCCCCTCCCCCCCAACAGCTGGTGGTGCTGCCCATCAGATCCACCATCACCTCGTGTCTTCCTGGCCACCGCCCATCTCCTACCACCAGCGGATTACCCACTCACCCCCTCCTACAACCTGTCCCTCCGCAAAAGCCACAGCTTTACCCTCGCTTTTCCCTCGCCCTCTCCGCTGCCGTCCCCTCCTCCATCAGTTCTACTTCTGATACACTCTTTACTTCAGCCACGCGCTCGTGGTTCCTCTTTCCCAAACTTGCAACAAAATCAGAGAAAGATTTGGAAGGAGTTAAAAAATTTGAAAAAACTTTTCCCCTCCCCCCCCTCTCCTACCTTGGTGACGTACGCCGTCAGCCCTACGGCCGAGGAACCCTTCCCACTTGTGTAGATGCCTCGGGGCGCTAGCTGGTGCACGTACGTGAGGAGCTGTGATTTGGACACGGAGGGGTCACCCACCAGCAGCACGTTCAGCTCGCTACGGATCTTGCCCCCGGGGAACACCTGTACACCGGGGACAGAGGAGGGAGTTGTGTGTTGCGCAAAAAGTATAAAAAGGGGGACAGGATGGAAAGGGGGGGGGGGAGTTGGTGGAGGGTAAGCTGGGAGGATAGCTGGTGGGCAATAGCAACGATGGCCAGCGTGATGCGCGGAGAACAACAGTCCGGCCAGCTGTCCACACCCGCCCTCCACAAGTTCACACCCGCCCTCCAGGAACAGTCCGGCCAGCTGAACCATGGCCCCAGGAAGCTGGGAGTTGAGCAAGACAGGACGAGCGCGCAGCCATGGAAGAAGCTCTTTCCAGACAGACAGACAGACAGACAGACAGACAGACAGACTGACTGACGGACAGCCTTGCACCATTTCCCCACCATCTATCCATCCACACATCCACCCATTCCACCGCGCCCACCCACACCTTCCTCCCGCTACCTTGGGTGTTCCTCCAAACAGCAAACACAGCACTCCCTTTTTGATGTCCTCCATCTCCCAGATGTTGGGAGCTAGGGAGGCGATCAGGCGGTCCACCAGCCGGGGATCGCGGGAGAGCTCCTGTGGCCAGCGTCAGGGAGGGGGTGGGAACGGCGTGGCGAAAAACAGAAGTGCAGAATGCCATGAAAAGGCGTGATGGACGAAGGCGAGGAGGAAGAGGGGATGTGAGCCAAACATAGAAATCTAGGAGAAGCACACAAGAACCCGCGGCCCGAATGAAACCCGGAACATAAATTTACGTTCATGCAAAACGATGTTATCATTCCCAACCAACCAGCTAAAAGATCTGCAACCCACGCTTCCCTGCCGTGCCACCCTCTCTGCTGCCCCTCCGCCAGGGCCTCTCCCCTCCCTTTCTCCCTCCCTCCCTCCTTCCCTCCCTTTCTCCCTCCCTTTCTCCCTCCCTTTCTCCCTCCCTCCCTCCCTCCCTCCTTTTCTCCCTCCCTCCCTCTCTTCCCGCCCCGCGCTGCCTCACCTTGATCTTGCCTTCCACCTCCGCCAGCTCCTCTGCGGTGATATTCTCAATCGCCACGAGCTGCTCCTCGCTGCCGGCGGGGTCACTGAGGGAGGCGGGAGCGCCCTCACCCGCGCCTCCCCCGAACATCTGACTATCAGCCGGAGTGTTGGGTGCGGAGAGGATGGTGGGCTCAGCCTCCTGCGAAGGGAATTCAGCGGGTGACGAGAGAGAGTGTGGCGTGTGGTGTGTGTGTTAAGGAATACAGGGGGAACGGGGGAATGAGCTTGGAGAAGGGATGTGGAACGACCATGCAAATGGGGATTAAACACGTAAAAAGTAATCCGTCGGACGTTTTAAACTTTCATAATAGGACCCAAATGAGCAATGCAACTGCCCAAATACTGAAGGGCAACACAACAGGGCGGCGGGAGTTTAGATATAAAAATAGAAGCCCCCAAAGAGGGGTAATTATTACGTCGGTTCTCTACTAACGATACACGTGTAGTCCTAGCCTCAAGGAATCCCCAATCCTCTAGGAAATCCCATGCGATTGCCTCACTTCAACCTGCTCATCGTGAGCCAGCGAAACCCGGCCCAGTCTGCTCTCACCGCGGCCTTGCCGTCCTGACCGGCAGCTGTCGTGAACAGCCGCCGTGTCTCGTCCCGGTGAATATGTACGACGTCGACGTATGTACGGAACAGCGCGTGTAACGCTGCCTGACGCGCTTGGGCACGGATGGGCGCGGCGCGGTACATCCCGGTGATGGTGACCCTGTCTCCAGGACGTGCCACGTCAACCAGTGTGTCGTACGTGTACAGCGTAACGCCCATCGGGGTTTCACCCTCGGGAATGTCGTTGGGGCTTTCCTGCGGGTACACGTAAGGTGAGGTACGGCAGGTGAACCGATGTAGATCTAACCGAAGTGACGTCCTGATCTAAAACGTCCAAGTAAGGTTTGTGGAAGGCTGAAACCCTAAGTTAACAACGGAAGCAGGTTAGGAGGCATTTATTTAAATAGCCTTCTCGGCGAACTCCCAACGATTCTTACGTTACGATGCTGACGGGCATCGTGGGCCTCAGCCTCGTGAATTACACACATACACTTGTACATTTCGGCGCACGTTATCATACACATACACTCTCGGACCTGCATCTTGATGAGCTGCTTGTCCGTGTACGACCCCTTGTTGTGTTGCAACACCATGCTCCATTTCTTCTTACAGGCAGGACACGCAGTCGGGTCCTCCACTCGACCGTTGACGTTGGGGGTGGCCACCTCGTGGCCGCAAGCGGCGCACTCAAATACGGCGTATCTGCAGTACGTACGGCATACGGGGTACGACAGAGCATCCAGAGTCTCAGGCATGGGTTGAAAGGAGACGGGCTTAAAATATAGCCAATCTAAACAACGTTTATGGAAAGTACAATTTGATAAGAGGTATGCAGTGCGTTCGTAGCCGTGTATGTCCGATTGTCTGTGTCGTGTATGTCTACCTTTATTATCTTTTCTGAGGCCATAATTATTCTGCCGTACAGAGCGATACGCGAGCTTTCGAACTCATGGCGGTCGGTTTGTACGGACACAGTCTAATGTACGATGAGCAAATGCCGTACAGAGCATGTGCCGTACCTGAGGTTGGGGATGATGGCCGACGTGCGTGTGACCATGCCCTTAATGCACACCAGCTTGTCGATGTCGGAAGGATCTAGATCGCGAATATGCTTGGTAGCCGCCAGGTTGTACGGACGGCACTGTCGTACATAACGCACCGCACGTGGATTTTGGGGAAGTGGGGGAAGGAGAAAGCATGAAAACTTTCCACTCAGAAGTGTGCCAGGAGATTATTCTTAGGGTCTGAACGTTTGAAACACCACATACATGGTAAATGAAAAATGACGTGGCGCAAGCGCTTCACTGTTGAGGCTTGACGCTGCAGATGTATGACATGTGATGCGCTGCGCTTTGTTTTAGCATCTTCAGCAAACCCGCTGTACGGCTGTACGGAAACATTAGCGCAAATACACAATATCCCCTTCTCGCGCTCTTCCCTCCGGATGTTCTGCCATTGCTATTGCCCAAAAACGTAGTTCATATTAAAACCCTAAATTTCGCGCTCCATCACACACACACACACTCGCACACACACACATTCACTCACCACCAGCAGGCACAGGTCCAACGCTTGATGTCGATCCGCCAAGTCTGGCTCGAAATTCAGATCCATCACTGCCACCTCGCGAACCACCTCATCCAGCACGCAATGCACCTCGCGGGGGAAATCCACGAGTGTGTCGTACAAGTCGTTGAACGACACACCGTTGACCACGGCGCGCATGTCGGCGGTGTCAATGTTGACCGAAGTCTCACCAGCCTCAATGGCCTGTTTAGGTTGGATGAACGGTTAAGTAGCCGCTGTAACGATTAGGGGAGCGCCCTGTAGCGCCATGAATACATACGTACACACGCGCAAGGCCCCCACATGATAACGTAGGCGTGATGATGTACGGACTCACCTCCTTGATAATCTGGACGTACTTGGCTTGCATCAGAGGATCTGCCCCCGCAGGCCTGCACGCGTGGGAGTTTGTGCGTGAGTTGGTATATGTAAGGTCAAACGTAACAAACAAAAGGAAGCACTGCAACATGCGGGAGTCGTGTTCCGTAGCCCAGACGCACACACACACACACACACACAGACAGACACCTGACACGCGGTGCGCGCACCGAAAGGTTCGGATGAACGTGTCGATCTGCCGCCGCAAGTGTCGGGAGTTGATGTTGGTGCCCCACACGAAGGTACCGTCGTCCGCAGCGCCGTCATGTGCCTACGGCACAGAGAATGCGTACATGGGGGCATATATTGGTGGTGGTATATTAGGGGAAAGGAAGGAGAAAAAATCAAATAACAAAAGATGGGCAATTATTAGGGCCGACCTGACCCTCCCTGGACATGACTCCTCCAGATGGCCTCCTCCTATTAGCTCATCCTCTGCCGCATTACACCGCAGCATGCCCCATCGACTGTATCCCATCGACGACAAGAAAGCCAACCACAACATTTCTTCCCCTTTCCTCATGCCCCCAGACCCCAGAACACGACCGCCTAACCCCCTATCCGGCGACACGTCACAAGGAAAACCACATGCTCCCATCCATCCCACCCTGCACCCGGACTTATCCCATACTCCATACTCCATAAACCCAGCACAAACAAGAAGCTTCGGGGATGTTATTCGTATGGCAATCCCCAGCACTTCCTTCTCGCTGCTGAATTCCTGCTTAAAAGGCATGCAGCCGTTCGCTCAACAGTGGACCTGATCAGATTTTCTCATCTTCGGTCCTTGGCTAGCAGCTTGGTGGCTGATCCGCAAACAAGCAGGCCTCCCCCATCCAGTTTGCGTCCACCCCCACCCCACCCTTCAGAGTCATACGTCCAAACGTGAAACCTACCTTTACTTTCCTGACAACCCAGCACACAGGGAAGAGGAATTCCTTCAGGTTGCATCTCGCGCCATATCTTATCATAGCTCAAGCCCCTCATTCAGCTTTCCCTACTTTCCCGCCCTGGCAAAGAACTCTGCGCTCTTACCCTTTCCCCTAGTCCTCATGATCCTCTTCCTTCCTTCGGCTTACCGTATCCAGCTTTGTCCACCTCTTTTTCTGCTCAAACTGCTTTTCCGATCCACACGCGCGAACTTGGGTCACAACCGTAATCATTTTTGTTTTCCTTTGGAGCCCCAACCCATTAATCCCACTACGACAGGTGATGGCGCTTTTCCTTCCTCTCTTACCCACCCACAGCCCTTACTCCCTTACCGGCGGCAGCTCCTCCGCGCCCTCCATCGGCACACCCGCATCAGTGCCCCCCGTGAGGCTGGGCTGCTGCTGGTTATCCTGGAGGCTACCCCCGGAGATCTGGCTGTTGGTAGGGCGGCCGGCGGTTCCGGGACGGCCGGCGGTGCCGATTCGTACGTTGGGCCGGCGCTGCGCGCGGCCGCCGCCAAACTCGCCACGGTTCTGGGCGGCCAAGCCGCGCGGCAGCGGCGTGGCGCCGCCGCCCATGGTACCTTCACTCTGCAGCTGGCTGCCCTGCTGCAAAAAGCTGCCGCTGGGTTGGGGCTGGGGCTGCCGGCGAGCGGGGAGTGGGGTGGCTTGTTGGGAGGGGGCGGGCTGCTGGGATGCGTCGCCGCCGGGGCTGTTGGGGGCGCGAGGGACTCCGCGGCGGGGGGCCTTCGGGGGGGTTTGGCCGCCCTGGGATTGGGATGGGGCGGGTTCGGCCCGCCGCTTCTGCTTCTGCTGGGGCTGGACTTGGGGCTGCACATCATCCTCCATCGGCTCTGAAGGAAGTTGGGTTTTAGGGGTGAGGTTAGAGGAAAAGAAGTCCTGACAGCAAGTATTCGGTAGACTGGAAGAGGCTCGCATCAAGCAGGACAGGTGCAAGTGTTCGTGTTTTTCTAGTTAAGATTTTTGTTATTTAGGTGGGCAACAGGCGCAACTTTCTGTGTCTGGTGCCATACTGGCAGCCCCAGGTTTTCAAAGAGGCCAGGCGGGCAGCTGTTGATACAGCAGAAGGCCTTTGTTAGACTTCGTTATTTGAAACTATCGAGATATCCCTAAAGATATCGTTTTCTCTTACCAGGCCCGGCACTTCGAGAGCCGCCCGGGCCTGCACATCGTCAGGGCGACCCCCAGGTCAATTCTCCAAAGAGAGCGTCAAATAAATGCTCTTTTGTAACATCTTTGACTTACCGTTGGCGCCAGACATGCTGCCAGGCTCCGCTTTCAAGTCAGAATATTTCAGCTGCGCAAAAGCGCGTCTTTGGTGGTAAAGGGATACTAGCCAGCCTTATGTAATTGTCTCAATTTACAATGTGGGACGGTAATTGTTATTTAGTTCCCCATTAGCAGATTGGGCCAGTGCTTATGGGGTCTTCGCGCCAAAAGAGTACGGAGGGCCCTATCCAGGGACACTTCTGAATACCAGCAACTCTTATATCATTTATGCATAACAGTTGAACATGCACAGGTGAAGTCTTGCGTTGTGCCTGATTATTGCAAGCATGGCCCGCCATGTACTACAGGAAATGCTCAAACATTGTCATGGGAACCAGCTACACTCTTTACGATCGGCCCTGCCATTGTTTTACATGCAGAGATGTCAAATTCAGTGCAAGTATTCTGAAAAAGCATGATGCACTACTAGGGCAATAGGGCTGATGGCAAAGCCTCGGTTAGTTAGGTTCAGTTGCCAGTTAATCCTCGCTAAGTGAATCAGTTGACGCTTGCCAGTCGCCAGCTTTGGGTCATCTGGAAGTCTGGGACCCATAAGACATCCACTCCGAGGCTTCTTTTCAATCCCTGACACGGACTAGGATGGTCAGTTACTGAGGTCAGAGCTGCCCCATGATCTCCAGACTCTTTTCAAATCCCTTACTCTTTGATGCAAAAGACACCTTTCCCGTTTGCCACACGGGAGCAGAGCCTTGGCTTGTACGGCATTACTCGCCGCACAATCAAAACCTTTATCTCGTTTAGCCGCTGTGTAAGGAGTTGCGCCCTCTGCGTTTTATCGCACGTCGAATGCTATGCGGTTGCCACGGTATTGATGCTTATCGCTCCTTGGCTGCTGAGCTCCTCTATGGCTCCATCTGTGGATTCCATCGGGGCTTTAAGCGGGGAAACGGTGAAGAACAGGGTTGGCTTTGCAAGTTCGCATCGATTTGCTTGCGAGGCGCTGACTTTATGACGGAGGCAAATAACAGTACAGGCTTGCAGTCAGGATGGAAAAGGTTGGCCTGCGTGGCCTGAACACGGCCCTATCAGGAGCTGTCCAAACGTCGCAAACGGACGCCGTACTGCTAGCGCAGAACCCCCTGCAACGTTTGCCGACAAGGGAGAACTGATCCGTAACTAACTTATTTTTATATAATTTGCACCATGCTAGCCTCTGCATGGTTCCAAACGTTTTCACCGTATATTCGGCCCTAGGCAGGAACACCGCTTAAGGCCAGGGCCGCAGCATAAGGCGCTCAAGCAAAGCTAAATTTCCTATTCTTGCGTGTTATTTTATTGAAAATGTCGACGGGTTGGGCGCTGCGGACTGCTCCGACTCGCGGCTCATCTCAAGTTCCTCGCCGGCAAGCCCCAATTCATACTAGAAGATATGTCGCCGCACAAGCTACTATGATCGACACATCTATTTTTGCAGTTTCGTTGTTTCCAAGGTGAATCGCTGCATCTGAATCTGAAACGTCTTGACAGAGAGTCGGGGAAACCTTTATGATGCTATGGTGTATGTGCTCGCATGCAGCAACAAGGTGCTTCTCCCAACAGCAACCGGAACCCTCCATGGTAAGCCGGGAAGCGGCTGATTCCCCTTCGGAACCCTAACGCGACGCAATGAGTTATTGACTAAGATCCGTTCATCCTGCGCTTACATGGTACCTTTACATATGCCTTTAAACTGCAGTTTTCGAGCAACATTTCCTCCAAATGTTCGATGACTTGGCCGCGAAGGCCGGAGGCCACATCCTCAGCGCCAGCGGTGTACGTTTTGGCCATATCCTCAGTCCCAGCGCCGCTCCTCCAGCTTTGCTTGAAAACTCAATCGGGGGGTTGCCCCGCGTGGGCGTGCTGGCTACCGTGAAGCGCGTGACGCGCACCGAGCAAGGCACTTTGATGCTGCAGTACGAGGGCTTCAAGCGGATTAAGTTGATCAACATCTGGCAGTTCCAGCCGTACATGGTAAGCGTAAATGCGAGAATACGCAACGCGACACAATAAACCTTCGCTTCAGCAACGGTGCAGGCCGATTATCATGCTTTTAAATGTTCCCTTGGCTCCCGCTCATTCCTATCATGATTGCATGTCGGTGGCCAGGTGGTCTTGGGGGGGATGTGCGGGGTCGTGGGGCTGCCGCCCCACTTCCCCGCACTTTCCCCTCTCTCCTGCCCCTTGTTCTTGGAAAGCTTTAGGCGAAAGTTTTGATCGGCTGGCATTAGCAAGCATTTGGGCTGTGTGCCTTTTCCAATGATTGAAACGGTTTGTTTTCTTGCATTGGTCGTACAGTGCAAATTGCCCACACATTGCTAGTTGTTGCAACAGTAAAGTATAAGCAATTGACGAAGTGTAAGGAGAATGTCAGTATGGAGAATTAAGCATCTAAATTTGTGATTACAGTCGAGGTGAGCCGTTAGTCCCCCCCATTTAAACTGGGCAGGTTGCAGGTTGTCCGCCGTCACCAGCATGTCGTTGGCAGTGTGCACCGCACTGTTGCCCCCGCCACCACCGCTGCCGTCGGGCATGTTAGACTTAGCGCTGTTAGTGCTACCACCCGAGCAGCAGTGGACTTCCCGACTTTCCGCCGCCACCACTGCTGCTGCTGTCGGGTTGGCAGGCCGTCACTGACCGGGGCTGTGGCATGTGCAGGGACTGCCGTTGACTGCGGGTGTTGCGATGGAAGGGGTGGTGTTGGGGTCGCCGGGGGTGGGGTAGCCACTGGGGTCGGCAGCATGGCGGGCGGTGTAGAGCCACCGATGGGGTCACTGCCACCGAAGAGGGTGCCCGCCTGTTGTGAACCGGGCCGTGGCGGTTGTCATTGAAGGTGACGTCGCTGCTCACGGACACCTCGCCCTTGACGAGGACACGGTGGGTGGCCATGCCGTGCTCCGGTCAGCGGTAGGTTCCCGCCTTTGCACAAGGAGTGAGTTTGTCCTGCTGGCTGGCTGGGATGCGGACGTAGGCCAGGCAGCCGAAGGTGTGGAGGTGGCTGACGTCGGGGGGGACGCCGTGATAAGCTGCCCACGGTGTGGCCTCCCGGCCCTGAGAGGGGACCACATTGCGCAGGAGGTTGGTGTAGAGTGCAGCCTCCAGCCAGTAGCTGACCAGGAGTGCTGTGTCATGCAGCATCGCCCGCACACGGTCGAAGAGTGTGTGGTTGAGTCGCTCCACCGCTCCGTTCTGCTCTGGGGTGTACGGCGCCGAGTGGGTGTGTGCGGTGCCGTGCTGGCGCAGCCACTGCTCCAGTTGCTTGGCGACATACTCACCACCGTTGTCGCTGTGCAGTGTGTGCACCCATGCGTGGCTCGGGTGGCGGGCCTCCAGCTGTGTCACCATGTCCTGCAGCACTTCGCCCATTGGCCCTTGCTGGCCAGCGTGCGGACAGCAGACAGACTGGTGGCACCGTCCAGCAGCGTCAGCAAGCAGCGTGCGTCCCCTCGGCCCGTGGTCGGCATGGGCCTGCACAGGTCAGAGTGTATGACCTCCAGCGCGTGCTACGGCCGGTTGCTGCGGCTGGGATGGGCGGTTGCAGTGGCCTTCACGGTGTCACAGGCCTCGCAGACGGCCTCCACCGCCTGTCATAGTGTCGCTGGAGTGACCTGTGGTCCCTGCACCAGCTGCTTGCTGATCAGCTGCTTCAGCACGTGGTAACCGAGGTGACCATACTGGCAGTGCAGGTGCTGTGCTGCCGCAAGTTCGACGACTGAGCATTCAGTGGCCCCAGGGCTGCCGTTGCCTGGTTGCCCTTTGCTGTTGCTGTCACCGTTCGGTTGGCCTCCACCGGTGTGGCTGCCGGCGGTGCTGCCGCCACGGGTGCTGGTGATGGTGGCGGCACTTCCGCCAGTGCTGCTACCTGCGGCCTGGCCCCCGCCAGCTCTGTCGCCCGTGGTGCTGAGGGCATTGACGGTGATGTCGGTCGGCGCCTGCAGGTCCACGTCCATGCATAGTGCCCACGCTCACTCCATGCGGTGATAGACGGGCTGTTGTGCAGGAGGCTGATGCATGAGAACCAGCAGCCCGCCTTGTCCAAGCTGAATGTGACCGAGTAGCCGCGTGTCATGTGGTCTGTCGACCTCTCACGAGGTCGACAGATGTCAGGGTGAGGCCCGAGCTGGGGACGTGCAGCACATTGTGCAGCCGGACATTGTGTCCATCACGAGTATGCAGGTGCAGCTTCCCTGTTCCCACGACATGTTGCCCCACCCGATTAGCCGTGGCGCGCCAGCGGGGACATGGTTGTGCAGCAGGGGGTGGTCACCCGTGAGGTGGTGCGGTGAGCCAGAGTCGAGGGTGACTCGTGAGCTGCTTCCACTGCGGTCGATGACCAGCACTGGGGCACGGCTCTGGCGTGAGCTGCTTCTGCTGCTGCCCGAGCCGCTGCCACTGCTGCCGCCTGCAGTGTCGCCACCGTTGTGGTGGCTGTTGCCGCATCGAGCACGGCCACATTCTCATGCTCCGTCGGCCCTGCTGTTACCACCATTGCCGCTGCCAGTGCCCCTGCCGCCACCATCACGGTGGCGGTTGCAGCTGCCTCAACTGATGTTGCCGGCGGCGTGGAGCTGCTCGAATGTGTTGCTGCCGTGAAGGCCGACGGACTCGTCCACCTGCTTAACGGGACACTCGCGAACATAGTGACCAGGCTGTCCGTAGTGACAGGTGTCGCCGGCCCCCACGGCGCCTGCAGCACCGGCGGCGCTGCCGATTCCACTGGCAGCACGGCCAGGGCCGACAGCTCCCACCAGGCTGGTCTTGCTTGTTTGGGTCTTAAGGTTGTTCTCCTCACGCAGCATGAGCACGAGCTGTGGGGTCGTTAAGTTGGGCTGATACATTGTGAACTCGACAGTGATGGTGCACTGCGGAGGCAGGCCATGGAGAATGGTGTGGTGCAGTGCTCTCGTCCCGCTGGCCGCCGGCCACGATTATATTGCTACGGAGCTGCTCTGCCTGCTGAACGAAGTCAGTGGTTGTCTTCCCATCACGCATGCTCAGCTGCTTCTGCGGCTCCAACAGGCTCAGCCGGGCCTGGGATGCAGAACGCAACTGTTGCTGTAAGAGCTGCACGGCGGCGAGAGTGGTCTGGCAATTCCTGAGCAACTGCTTGATGGGCAGTTCACAGGACGGATGCAGGTAGCCGAGTGCCTGTGTGTCCTCCTCCAGGGCGTCTTGGGCGTTGCGGCCCGGAGGCGACGGGTGTTGATGTAGTCTTCAACTTGGATGTTGCAAGGAAATCGCCTAAGTCGCCGAGCCACTGGGAGTAGTTCGACCCATCCGAGAGGAGGACACCCTTACATCCCTTCCCCATGATGGTTGCCTAGCGAGCATGACTGATCAAGCCGCGTTCCTCGCCGCCTTTCTGGCAACTAGTTGATGGTTTGATGCATCGTTGTTGCGGCGTACAATGGCTCCTGATGCGATTTATGCCCTTTCAGCCTCCCAGGCATGTCCCCACTTGCCTCACAGCCACCGACACATCTCACGGCGGGGGTTTAATTGTGTGCATGTTGGATGCAGCGTTCCCCGCCACATTTCGGCAAATAGTTGATGGCGTCATACATCGTTGGCACGGTGTAAGACGGTGCCTGATGCGATATATGCGTCCGGAAGCCCTTTCAGCCTCCCAGGCATGTCCCCACAACTGCCTCACAGCCAGCGGGGTTCTAATTGCGTGCACGTTCGCATGCGGCATATGTCCTGCCGCCTTTCTGGCATCTGTTGATGGTATGATGAATCGTTGTGTGATGTAAGGCTGCGCCTGATGCGATCTCGTTTGCAGAAGGGCCCCCTGAGTGCTGCCAAGCATGTTATTCTCTTATGAGACTGCGTGAAGGTTAACGAACTGAGTATGCGACCAACACATAAAACATCGCATGTGAATTGTTATGTCATGCGATTAATCAAAGTAAATCGTGTGTGTTTGGTGTGTTTTTGGTGTGTTAGGCCGCAGTAAACTTGATGCAACGAGCCTTCATACGCTTGAAACGCAACATTTGTTTGCATGCGAATTGCGTTGCGACATGTGTGCGTTTGGTGTGTGTTAGGCCGCGTTAAGCTTTACGCAATCAGCCTTCATACGCATGAAACGCAACATGTATTCGTATTGTTGCGGACTGTATGCGTTTGATGTGCGATTGGACGCGTATTGCTTTACGCATTGTCTCCCCACACGCACGAATCGCAATATGGAATCGCATGCGTATCGCCTTGCTACACATGCGCGTATGCTTCGCGTTTCAACATACGCACGGATTGAATTGCTCAAGTCGACCAAAACGACGCAAGTTTATTTCCAAATGAACCTTTACAATCTGAAAATTATAAAATTTAAAAATTTTAGCCAGGAGGGCCGATTTCCGCTTTTTCATAGCCGTTGTGCGTTAGCTTATTGCGTTACAGAAGCATGCTCATTCGCACCTAACGCTAAGATTCGCACCGTTACGCGAACTAACGCGGACTTAAGGCGATCACCCGTCGTCATAGTGTGTCGTGGTCATGGCGAGCATGACCACAATACTGAACGTCAGCGATTGTACCGACAATGACAACATTTACTAGCTTTATATTCACTAGCAGTCCAAGGATTTAATGAATGTATTGATCAAGGATCAGTCTATCACAACGATAACGGCGAAGGAAAAGAAGCCAAACTAACCTTACAAATTGTGAAAAGAAGAAGTCATATGTAATACACCGTATTTGCTTTTTATGTACTGGCCTAAATACTGGCTGAACAGCGACGCAGATCGGTCATGCGATGATGCCGTGCGAAATCTTGCCGCCGCCGAAAAGTGCGTAACGGCACTACCTACATTTTCGTTTTTATGACATTGTAAATCTGCATTTGATTAAGTTGGTTCACCACTTTTGGCAGGCAAAATGGACGCAGACGCGGAACACAGTGGTTTACCACACAGCATCAAGCACGCTACAAGGCGAAAGATCAATATGCTGTCATATACTTGAAAGAAATTGTTGCAGATTCCGCTTAGCAGGTAGAGCCAGTGACGGATAGATTTCCCTTTAGGCCGTACGACTTGAGGGCCTTGTTCATTGGCCTTCTTCCCTATAGAGACTGTACGGCATCATTGGCCTTCTTCCCTATAGAGACTGTACGGCATCATTGGCCTTCTTCCCTATAGAGACTGTACGGCAGTATCATTTTTTACCTAAGAGGTTACCTTTTTAGAGTTAGAAATAAAGGAAAAATCATTTTTTACCTAAGAGTTACAGCTTTTCAGAAAGAACTAACAGCAACTTCTACTATTATAAATTTTTGGCCGATCATTGGCGAGCGCAATAATGAGCGGTAGCAATCAATCATGCCTGTAAGGATGTCCAGATGTATGAAACACAGTAACTTTGACTGCTGTTGTCGTGCTTGCAATCTCCCATGTGGGTTTCGTTTTGAATCGTACCATCTGGGGTTGGGGGCTTCAAGAGCTCTGGCCTCTCCATACCTCAAAACGGCTCCTCTCCGCTCTAGAGCTCTCCTTGCCGAAGGCACCCTAAAAATGACCTCATACCCCACACCATCCGTATGGGTAAGCAGCACCCTTGTAGCATGGTACAAATGCCGACCCACATTTTTTTATATTGTGGCAGGCGCTCTTTCCTGACACGTTCCTGACTCAGTTCTGTTCATGTATGTCCATGCCCGACTTCTCGACAACGGGATTCTCTCTTTGATTTAAGCCAAACTGTTCCTCTCCCAGCCACTTCAAGCCGCCACTCGCGATCGCCTCCCACTCGCCCAATTACATCCAATGTTACAGTTTCGTCCCATCTATCTAAAAACCATAATCCACTTCCTCCCTCTCCAACCCCCTGCCTACTGGTCAGTTCTGCTTCTCTTTCCTTGGCAGCAGCTTCACTCGTTCGTGGTTCGTCTTTCCCCTCCTCCCCCCCCACAAAATCATATCCCAACCACTGCTTTGTTTACAGATCGCCGCCGCCAGCTTCATGACCGACACCGTATCACCCGCGGAGGAGGGCCTTGTGGATACCCTGGAATGGGATTTATACCGCCAGCTGCAGGTACATGTCGTATGCCGTACAATTTATGGTCACAAGGTTCCACTCTTTCTCCAAGCAGCAGTGTGTATGCGTGTGTATTCTCTACACATCTCCCACATCTCAACCCACCTCGTAAACACCCCTCCTCCCCCAACTGACACCTTCACGGCGCATGACAGGAAGTGGGTCGCCTCAGCAAGCAGCTGAAAACCTCGGAGGATGCGCCCGCGGGGCTGCCGTACAGCATACCCAGGTGCTTGGGTGGTTAGGGGCCAAGATAGCGGGTGATGTGATTGGCGGCGGGTTTGCCAGGTGGTACACTGGTAATATGATGGTAGTAGATGGAAGTGATAGACGATGGTGGGTTTGCTGGGGCTAATTAGGGGAGCAGACGAACGAGTCCACTCTCCAACGCTGCTCAATCAAAGAAAGAAAACCACTACCACCGTGTCGAGCGCATGCAGGTACGCCCCGCCGCCGCGCTCGTCCCGCCCCCGCACCATAGCCGACTACCTGACGGAGGGTGGCCACCCCGCCGGCACCTCCATCAGCATGTGGCAGCGGCATGGCAGCGTGTACGGCGACGTGAAGCAGGGCAAGGATGCCATGCAGGATCCGTACGCGGTGGGTGCCGTACGGGAAGCAGGGGAAGGGGGTGTGCACTTCGGGGCTGCACACCGTTGGCGATGCCGGTAGTGGTGACGGCAGGCTGAACGTCGTCGTCGCTGTTTACAACAATGCAATCTGGTGTTCAAGATTGCAGGAGGAGTTTCATGGATTTAACCCTAAAACCCCACCTGGCCCCTGTTGTGGCGGCGGCGTGGTGGGTCGTGCCCCCAAGCTCATGCCCGCTCACGCACTGCACAACTCTCTCTGATCTATCTAGCCCAAGGTCACCCACGGCCTCCAAGCCCTTCAGATAGAGCCAACCAGCCTTCATTCCCAAATCTCAATGCCCTCCTTTTTCCTCCCCTCCCCCCCCGTCTTCTTGCCATCAGCTTCCCCCTCCCCCTCCCCTTGGTTCGTCTTACCTCCCCCTCCCCCTGGCATCAGCTTCATTCGTTCATAGTTCGTCCTCTCCCTCCCCTTCTTGTTCTTCTTCAGGTACTTTCCGAGCGGCTAGGCAAGGACACCCGCCAGGAGCTGTTCTCCTTTGCGGCCGCTGGCCTGCTGGAGCTGGGCCCCGCGGAGAGCCTGGCGCTGCTCACGAGCACGGACCGCGCAGCGAGGCTGCAGTGGGTGACGGCCGCAGTGACTCCGTATCTCGAGGAGCAGAGGGCCAAGGCGTCACTGGCACGAGTGCTTGGCAGTGGGGGAGCAGGAGGCGAAGCCGGAGGAAATGGTGCAGGCTCTGGCGGGTCGGCGCAGACGTAGAAGGAGCAACGTCACCGCCGGGCGGTAGATGGGGTTGGGTTGGGATGGGTTGGGATGGAGTGGAGTGTGTGGAGAGGTGGAAACATTTCCCTAGAGTTGTCCACACGGGGCGATGTACACCTGCGTACACATACGCACGCACGCAATGCGCCGTGATGTAGGCGACATTCCCTTTTGACGCACGCACGCAGTCATGCACGCACCTTGGTCTGTGTGTCTGTGTGGTTGTGTGTGTGTGTGTGTATGGCGGACATCCAGCGGGCATTCGCTTTTTGGCCAGAGAAGATTTCGGGGGTACGCATGCATGACGCATACTATTTTTTACAACACAGTGCATGATTAGGCAGATTGTACGATTGCATATGGCACCAGGCCGAAGTGGGTTTGAGGCAGCGCACCTATTCCAGAAGTTAAATGAGCGATTATAATAGTATAATATTACATTACTTGGGACGTGCATCTTGTACATGCTCATATGTGCGTGTTGGGGTCTTAGGGTGAGTCCTCGGGTTTCCGTCATCCCGGGAGAGTGTGAGACCAAATCGAAGCCCCACAGTGTGAGCCCAGAGGGGACAACCTTTGGAGACCCTACAAGCGGCAGTGGCAGTGGCAGGAGGAAAGGAGGAATTATGCAACCCGTCCGCCCTCTGTGTATGACTTTATCTCTGGAAAAAAATGACAGTGATAGGGGACGTCATGGACTTCATAGATGATTGATCATCTTTCTAATTATGTACGGATATCTTACATGGCGAATTGATAGGGATTGCAGTCTGGCCCTGTCGAGTTCACAGAAGGGATGTTTCGTTGCCCGGATCTGTTGTAGCAGTTATGCAGTTATACACGGTTGTACAACTAATGTGCAAAGTCGGCGAGAGGTGTGTCTCTTTGATGGTACATCGCTGTATATCACGTTGCCTGACTACAAAGCCCAACCAACAACACAATCTGCCCCCAGCTCCCGCCTCCCGAAAAAGCATCTTCTAATTTCTGAGGGTACGTGTCAACAATGTACGTGTCACCAATCTGTGTTGTTTCATCCTCAGGGAAAAAATATTGCTGGCTGTGACATATCCCCGGCTGGCTCCTGCTCGGTGGGCGATGCAGAAGAGGGGGGGTGAAGCTTTGGCGATATGCGGGCTTTGGACGATGGGAGGGAGGGAAGACGGGGGAGAGGGATACGTGTACGTGACAGGAAGTTGTGGTAGCAGGAAGTAGACACACTCGAAACATCGAAGCATGATATCTCGTGACATGGAAACATTGTGTTTGTGACATGTGCGAAAGTAATGTCGGTGTACACGCAAAATCGAGTAGGGTAGCCAGCTTCTTCGGCCCTGATGCAAGCAGTAGTTGCCTCGCAGTATTCCGCAGGGAAGGCACTGGGCTGCAAGTGGCGGAACGGTGTCGTGTGTTTGGACTGTATACATACATACAGTCATGATTATGGATAGCTGCAAGGGCCGGGTGCAGCGGCCGGCGGTGTTGGAGCGATGTATGATGTACGCAACCTGCAGTATACACTTGCGAAGGTGCCAATGCCAAGTCATGGACGGTGCATTGCGTACCGCTTCCATCTCAACAAGAACGGCTGCTGAGCATATCTATATAGCCTCCTGGTAGTGCACGAACCCAGTTCCCCATGCCAGTCGAACTGGAGAATAGGAGGACATGTATTGGATGTGAGCGTGAGACGGAGCAAAAGGCGAGGAGGGAAGTGCTGGAGCAGTTGGCATGGATGGGCTTCTGGAGTTGCGGAGTGTGGCAGACCTGAGCCATAAATAGCTATTTCAATTAAGCCCAAAGAACGAACGAGAAGACCGCGCGGACGCCAGCAATCAAAGCAGCATGAGCAGAAAGCTTCGTGCACGCACACTGCAAAACCTCTAAGGCATAAAAGGGTCGGTAACCGACCGATTCGCTATAACCCAACCCGACCAGAAGTAGTCTTAATGAAGAGCTACATAACAATTTTAGTTAAAAAAACTGTAATAAATTTGTCGTTGCAACTGGCTGTATATGGAAAATCGCTAGAGAACCTTGTTCACCGTGTCCGTGCGGTAGGGTAACCGGCATAACGAGGTGACCACCCGATTACTCTGGGGTCGCCGACCGATAATTAGGTTACCGGTAGGTAAGACCAACTAGAGGAGCTAACTAAGACTAACACGCAACCCGACAGACACCCCCTGCATAAACTTTGAAGCTTGTTAGCGGACAACGTTATACGAGCATATGAACGATGATATGACCATTACCATGACTTTTTGTCACGCCGTTGCATTTCCCTCCAAAATTTAGTTTAGCAAAGTAAACACCGACGTGATCCATGCTTCTTTCTAAACTAAACCGCTCCGGTCGAGCGAACTGGAGGATCGCAAGGCTGATCCCTCGACCGGGGTTTGACCCGGGAGGAAAAGCGCCGCCACGCCGCTCCCGAGAAACCCCCCCAGCAAAGACAGGGCGCCACCGCATTATGCATATATATATGTTACTGAAGCCACCTGAACGCATCCACCGAATCAGCGGCTCCATCAACAGCTCCAATCCGAGCTCGACATTTCAGTTTTGGGCCCACAAGATGCCCACAGACGGAGTTCGACCGGAAAAGCTGGTCAACGGAAGTGGTGCTGGCGAGATCGTGTTGCTAACGGGCCAGGAACGAGGCAGGAAAGACTGCGTGTGGCGATGTGATGCATGCACACCACACCACAGCACAGCGCAGTTTTTCCTCCACATCGTCTTCGTCATGCCACTGCCACTGCCGGACAGTTTCTTTCTCCGGAGATGCTTTGCTTTACCCGCCGTTCACCTGTGTTGGCCGTAGTGGGTAGTTAGTTAGTCAGTTGGTTAGTTAAGGAGTTGGTTAGGGAGTTAGTTGGTGGCAATGTCCGTCACGGAGTTGGCACTGTTGTTGGTGAGTGATTTCTGCTAGAGAGTCTTGCTTGGTGGTGTCTGTATCCGTTGGTGTTGAATTTCTGTCATCATCATATCATCATCATCATCATCAACATCATCATCATCAACATCATCATCATCATCATCGCAAAAGAGGCTCCCCTCCTCCCTCCAATCCCTCCCTTTTCCCCCCAGCCTACCGCAATTCCTGTGGGTCCCTCAACTACCGGGAAAGCTGAGGGCAGCGAGCGCCGCACGTATTCACCTGTTAGCCTGTTATAGGGCGTAACAGCCTCCAATAAATTATTGAGTTCCCGCAAACATAAGAAGAGAAGGCGGAGAGGCTGTGTGACCGGCAGAATTGCTCCACCTCCTGGCCGATGTGGATTCCAGGAACCACAGCCCTCATGGACGACAGACGGTAAAAGATGCAGGAAGAAGACCCATGCTGCCGCTGGCGGTACGGCAGCAACGGTACGACATAGCTGTAGCGAATATGTATATGTATATGTAACGAACATGCAGCAATTTTTGCTTCTTCCTCAGGATGTTGCCGTACCGCCGGCGCCGGCGCCTTCGCTGCCGACGCTTCCACCATTGCCGTCGTCACCGCCGAGTTGCCCTGGCAGTGGGGATGGCGGCGGCGGCTGCCGCTGGCGGTACGGCAAAATGGCGGCGGAGCTGTACCTCGATAACTCCAGCCCTAGGGATGAACCTAAGCGGTTGGGGTTGGGTTAAAAAATGGTTATTTTTTGTGGCTCCAGGGATGCGGTTTTCATGTGTTGAGCATCCTTGATACTAGATCCTAAATCCAACACACCCCACGACATCAACGAATCTGTCAGTCGCAGTCGCAGCGATACGAGATCACCGAAATCCTGACAACATTAGTCTGCATGGCCTCCTTTCACAAAACACACATGCACATGTGCAACCAAAGCACACAGAAAATCATATGCATTTATTTGCGCGGCGCTACGCTGCCTCATTTTAATACCAACGTCATAGTTTATATTAGCTATACGTCATGCATTCGTACCTGTAACCTTTGTCGATCAGGTAGCTCTCCACCACTCGCGGCAGACTTGCCTCCCCCCGGGAGCTATGGAGCCCTTTGCCCACGATCACACGAAGCACTCGCCGAGCAGCTAGCAACTTGGCAGTAGCTGCGGCAGTATCTACGACGGGAGCTTGCCGTACCGTTGCCGTTGGCATCAACTGCTGCGGCGTCGGTGCCGTCACCGCCATGGCGGTGGCGGCGGCGGCAAGACGCCGCTGCTGGGAGGTCTGAATTCGCCTTGAAGAGCCGCCGCCGCCGCCGCCGCCGCCGCCGCCGTTGCCATAGCCACCGGCGTCGGCGTCGGCTGACGCTGATGCCGCCGACGCCGTAGCATCTGATCTTGTTGTTGATGCTACTGTCGCCGCGGATGAAGGGCGGCCCTCCAGCGCCGCGATGCGCTTCGCCAGGGCCTGCGAATGTACGGTCAGATGGACGGTTGCGTGTGGCAGCATGTGTACGATGTGCCGTACATTGCGCCTTGAGGCCGTCTTGCCCTCAGCCAACTCACCTCAACGGCCTCAGCCGCGTGAAGTCCATGCAAATCCAACTCCCACTACGAGGTGACGGGGGCAGAAGCGGGGGCGGGGGGGAGGGGAACAGACACGCAGGCACATACACACACACTCATTTCCCTCATCGCAGTTCAGGTCATACAAACGAGTGGGGAGGCGCGACTCAACGGTTTGCTAAGCAGGCCCAGAAACCTCTGAGTAGCAATAGCAGTACCTCTGCCCTGGACTGAAAGCTGGTGTGCTCCGCCTGCCAAACGCCAACTCAAACTTGCCGTACATCACCTGCCTGCCCAACAGCTAGCTGTTCGTGTCCAATGGGTGGCAGGTGACCCATGGGTCACTCATCCATTCCTGACATTTGGTGTATCAGCATGTATGTGCGTTTCGCTCACTCAACTCACCTCCGACAGCTGGCGGCCCTGGTTCATCTCCGCCACGATCTGTTCGGCAGCCTCTCGATGGGCCGCTGCCGCCTGCCGCCGTAGCTCCTGCGCCTCCGAAACCAGGCGCTGGCCTAGCGCACGAGCGCCGGCAGCAAAGGCTGCTGACGCCCTGGTAAGAATTCGTAGATGCCGTACGTCGACACCGATACCGCCATTGCCGCATCATCAATTGTGGTGTAATTTTGCAGTGAGACATGTGTGGTGGAACATTTGGGACATATGAACTTTGTGTGGATTTTTGTTTTAGGGGGAGTTAGAGCAGCTTTGTTGCTGGGTACCATGCGGGCCATGCTGGAGTGCAGTTGTCCATGCGAACGTGTGTCGTACACGCGCGAAAGAATGGAATAGCTGTATGTCTACTGATGGAAATGCAATCCGTCCCAACACGCACTTGTTCATTTTCTTCCGCCAGGCGTAATCGAGCTTCAACGCTGCGTGTCGGTGGCGAAAGTATGCGTCGCCGCCGCCGCTGGCTGCGGCATCACGGTGCCGGCTGCGACTGCCGCCGGCGGCACCTCCGTCACGCTGCGCCGCAAAATCGTACAGGTCCGCTGCTGCGGCGGCGCCGTCGGCGCCGCCGCCGCCACGTGCTGAGTCATTGAAACCGCCTCCGTCTTCCTCTCCGTCCCCATCATCATCATCATCAGATGTGGCGGTCGGGGAGGCGGAGCCGCCACTGTTGTCGTACTGGTACGACGCTGCATGAAGCTCGTCCAAAGCAGTAACTACTTCGGCTAGGTCGTACTGCAGCGCCATGCATATGGCCTGCACGGGCGCAGCCGCAACGGGGTCCGGAGGGCAAGGAGACGTGGGCGATGTCAAGATAGGAAAGGGACAGGAAAAACTCGAAAGCTCTCAAAATTCGGGATCGGCCTAGATTCGAACTGGAAGGCGCCAGATGGGCTTGTGGAGTTGAACGACTCATGTTGCCAAAACAGGCTATGCAAGCAGCTATTCCAATCAAAGAAATCCAAAAAGTTCCAAAAAAATTCCAAAAAAATTCCAAAACGCAAGGGGCACCATGACACCGGGAGGTGGGGTTCCGAATTTCCATCAATGAATAAATCAATTCTTACAATGCACATATCCGCGTTCTGTACGGCACGCCGTACATCATTCGTACCTCCACAAGATCCCGTTCTGCCCAGGCATGCGATTGACATAGCTCCTCCATCGCCGCCGCCCGCCATCCCTCGTCTTCCAACGTGCCGGTTGTGGCGGCGCCACGCATGCCGTACATAATGTCGTACATGCCATCACCTATGTTCATGTACCGCATGGCCTGGTGCGCCGTTTGTCGTGCCGCAGCGGCGTAGCCACCGTACGGCCGGGGTGGCAACGCCGCCGCCACCGCTGGTCCCGTGTGAACATAGGCTGGCGGCGGAGGCGCTGCTGCAGCAGCTACAGCCGCTGCCGCCGCCGCCGCGCGTCCACGGGTGCTGGGTTCCACCAGAACCCGTTGCGCGTCTGTCGCAGCTGCGACGGCACAGTGTTGGAGATCCGGGAAGTCAGTGGCTGCAAGGCGTACGGCAGCACCGCCGCCGCTCAGATCAATGTACTTCGGGCTGTTCAGGGCCGCTATTGGGGGTTGCAAAGCCGTAGATGATGGCTGCGGCCCTTGCAGCTGCTTTACATGGCTTCGGAGCTGGCTAGTCCGGAGCTGTGCCCACGTCGTTCGGGGGTTACCGGTAGCGCCATGGTTACTGCCGCCTCGATGATGTATGGAAGTGGAGGCGGGCAGGTCGAAAGCTGACACGGCGCTTCGGTTGGGCGTGGGTGGGGGAGATGGACCCTGCAGATGACAATTGCGGCTGTTAGCGCTCAACACCAACTCAACCCTAGCTCTCAAAGTTCCTCCTCAACTACTCCAGGAACAAAGTCTTTAGTGCTGGTTTTCGAACCCCTTGAATTACGCGGGGGAATAGGCTTTTACAAGGGTTCAAGTTTGGAATTTGACGCGAAGCGTACCTTACTAGAGCTCGCGGAGTTGGATTTGCGTATTCGGCCTTTTTCACTCCCCTTGCTTTTAAAGTTACGCGCATCCCGTTGCTCATCGACAACGGAACGGGGGCTATCCGTCGTATTGGTCAAAGCCGACGCGCCGGCTTCTTCGCGACTCTCCGCGCACATCTCCAACAGCGTGCCTATTGCGTCCTCAACAGAGTTGTTATGTGCATTTAGTGCCGCAAGCAAGATGTCTTCGGGCATTGCTGGGAACATCTGCTGCAGCGCAGGTAGAACCGATGGAGACGACTTCTGCATCGTAACAAAAGCTCTAGCAAGTTAAAGAAAAGATGTAAATAAGTTGTTGAAGTCTAAATACAAGCTTGCTAAGCTGGTAGCCAAAATGCCTTGCAGCCAAACCCTTGGACACGGTATCGCTTGCAGGCGCTCAGAAGATCTATGTTTCATTGGCCACAAAATGTAACTCCTATGAGATGGTAACACAAGCGCGCGAGTATTCCTACAAATCAAAACGAGTGCACGAATCGAGAGGCCACTTCGGGCTTTGAGTAAGCCTGTAGGTTCACCAAGCCGCGCCATTATAGGTTATTGCCATGAATGCTCTAGCTTGCATTGCATCCTACTTTGGCGACAAGCGCCAACGACCAAACGGTTGGCGAAACACAGTAATGCTATCATAAAAGACCTTCGCGGCCAAGAAAGATCATCTTCTAAAATGGATTTACATATGTATTTACTTATTGTACTCTAATCACCGTAAAGCGCATACAGTCATCGGCTGACCCATGGTCCTTGCCATTGTGGCAAAATGCGGGACATGGAAATGGCTACTGGCGAGCGCTGGCGTATGCGCACACGTGGATGGTGTCGCATTCATGCAGCGCTTCTACTCTATCTGTCAGTAGACTTGGTCAAAAAAGGCTCCTGTTGTTGTTGTTTTGGTGGTGGTGGGTGGTGGTCCCGAAATTCGACCGATACAAAACCCGCCCTCTCATGCAAAAGCCTAGCTGTAGCAGCACAAAATGGTGGCAGCCGCCGCGAACAGGGCAAAAATCCACAGCGTGCCGCCTGATGCTCCACCTTACCCACTTTGCCTACAAGTCGAAATGCCGTACGCCAGCACATGTCGATCGGAGCTTTACCGTCAACCCGGATGCGACAGCCGCATACATGGAGCAAGACCCCATGTAAAATCATCTTGCATCGATGCCCCACACAGAGCATCGATGTGTCGCACTTGGTTCCAACAGCCGCAGGGGCGCAATTTTATCGGAGGAGCCCCTCTGTCGCTGTCAACAACGCTAGACATCAATCCAGGTGGTGTACCCAGATATAGTACTACTCCCTCCAACCATAATTACTCCTTTTTGGTCCATATTAACTCGCCTGTCCGGCCCAACTGCTTACTATTCCTAAAACTGCACATATGCTACCTATGAGCCAAGCAGATCTCGCCCCCATCCAGTTCCCATCATCAACCGCAGCAGGAGCTTCAAGGAGCAGAAGCTGGCGGAAGCCGGCCTTGTATGCGTGTACCTCTAGACAGAAGCACATGGAACACATGGACGCCTGGTCGTGACTGGCCGCCTGTAAGTCACCGTTCGCTTTATTTCTAAGCTTCCAAAAAGATCGTTTAACATGAATCTGGATAAATGATTTGGTTTGGTTACACATTGAAAAAGACATCGCTGGCGATGGATGTGCATGAATTTGGGCGAGCTGCGTACTTTGAAATATGCTTACCCTACTGCCAGCTGGCAAGCCTGCCATCCGTTCATTATTTCCTTGCAGCGAATTTGACAAAGGATAATAAGCGAGCAAGTTAATGCTCCTGGTGGCCAGCGAAAAGCGCGAACGCAGCTTCATCGCTTTGGTTTCAATACGCAACTTATGCAAACGACAAATTCCACGCCCGCGGCGTCAGTTGCGTACTGGAATATCTTTTGCGTGCTGTTTTGATGAAGAAACCTGATGATATTATAAACATAATATGTCGCATGCTGGAGCCTTCAGTAAGGTACAGCAGTAGTGTTAAGGCCGCCGTCGGTTACGCTTCGTCCGTTTTTTTCGGCCCTCAAAGCGACACCGACCGACCAAATCAAACCGCACTTCTACTCAGTAATCTTGAGCAAATATACTTAAACTGATAAATATTGGACTGTAATCTCCCTTGGATGACCAATCGTTTGCCTGATTACCGAACCGTACTTGCATCGAATCCCACCTGATACGACGTGATTTTAAACCAATTTGATTGCCAGGCAGACAAATTTTTATTGAATTATAATGTTATTTCAGGCTTTAACCTAATAATTTGCGAGTATGTTGTCCCCAGCTGGTGGTGCTGCTTCAACTCATTCGGCTGAATATGTTCGCGGACCACGCGAAATTTACGGTCGAGCCTTTGCTGAGGAGCTTTCACTTAGGGTGCATTCAAGCGCTCACCGCTTGGCTACTTGTGATTGGCTACTTGTTGGCTTCCGCTGTAGAGGCACGCACGGGAAACGATCAATCTTGGAGTCTCCCTGCTCCCTGCTGCTGCCGCTAGCTTAGCTGCTGCTGATCGTCGTGTAAGGTTATGCATATCTTTGCACGAATTCCCGCCGGTCCATCCCCACAAGGCGGGCCATTATTAGATGGAATTTTTTGGCGCCTTAGTTGTACGGCAGCTCCGAAACCTTAGGAGAGACCTTAGGTAGTCCTGAGAAACTTTAGATGAAGCTGTCTGAGGACTCATCCAATAGTTACTGAGTTACATTCCCAATGGCTGACGTCGGTGGAGCCTCTGGCAAGCCGCCGAAGGGCAAGCGCGAGTCCAGCAAGGATACTTACACCTACAATGGCAAGGAGTACTCGGCCAGGGAATTTTACGAGAAGCTGAAAGACAGCAAGCGAAATAGCCGTGCTTCCTGGTGGGCATTCTTCAACGTTGTGCTGGTAAACAACGCAGTGAAGCTGGCCTGCGCGTTTTGCCCCACCCAGCTCAGTGCTACCAATCCCTCAGCAGTGGCCCCACAGCATCTGGCAAGCTATCATAAGGACGCAATTTCGTCTTCCTCCCAGCAGTCGTCTGCTCCTGATGGCAGCTCCGACGGTGACGCGCCTGCGGAGAAGCGATCGCGATCACTCGACGGCACATTGGACAGGTTCTGAAGGTGCAGCGCGCTCTGGACGCGCACTTCGCGGAGTTTGACAAGCAAAACCCCGACATGATGGTGAAGCCGCGGGGCAACATGGAGGCTGTGGGTGTGCAGAGCGTGTACGAGCAGCGGCGTGGGAGCACTCTGTCCAACGCGCTTGTCCCGCTCGCCCACGCCCTCGACCCCATCAACTTCGTTCAGCTGAATGGCGGGGACAACTGGTTTCCGCCGTTTCACGAGCTCAGCAAGGAGGTAAGGAGCGGGAGGACGCCCGTAAGCTGGCGGCTGAGGTGTATGCGGGCAACGGTGAGGGTGCAACGGAAGAGGACCGGCGGGCGGACAAGGTGTGTTTGCAGCACTGGCTGCACTGTTCGTGTTGTTCTTGGTGAGCGCCATCAATCCTATCTAGCTGCTGACAGCACGTGAGATTGCATCGTGTTTTAAACAGGCTGTTGGAATGAAAACCTTAGCATGTGTTGGCCACATGACGGCTGCGGCTCCCGAAAAGGGCAGCCCCATCCAGTGCTTATACTTCGCCATTTGCATTACCGGTTGCTTCCCATCTGATGGGTACTCCTCTGGCAAGGCAGTCAGACGCGTATGGTCCCAGCCGCTCATCAAACGCTCTCTGAGTGCCGTTATGTATGTATGTATGTATGTATGTATGTATGTATGTATGTATGTATGTATGTATGTATGTATGTATGTATGTATGTATGTATGACGTTGGTTACACTGTGGGCTGAAAAGCCGGGGGCCCAGGGCCGAAGCACAGCGCGGGGGGCGGGTGCATACGGCTGGTTAGTCTCATGCACTCCGCCCCCGGGTCAGGCCGCACGGGAAACGACGGCCGGCACGCAACAGCGCTTGTTTGGCGCTCCAACTAGACGGGATCTATGCCCGTTGGTCTCCTAACATAAACGAAGTCGCAACTGGGGGGCTCTTCCTGCCGACCGAACGAACCGAGCATCTCAGAGAGCTCGCTACCAGGACTTGGGCGACCGGGAGCCCGACGAGTCTTCCCGGGCTGGGGAGGTCACCAAGCTCAAAAATCCTCACGCAAAAAAGAGCGCAAAGAGCTCACACCACAAGACGCCAAACAGCCTCCTGAGACTACTACCCTCCTCCGCCTCTCCCTCCCTGGGCTAGTCCAGGGGAGATAGCCCCCGTCGAGGGGGTAACACCGCACAAGTCCGCGCCCTTCCACAGCACTGGGTCTAAATTGAAAAGTACTCAAACGGGAAGACCCTGCGGCAACGCAGGGCGATCAAGCCTCCGGAAACCACAGGGGGGGAGGGTAGCCAGCTCGGCGCCCCCCCAATACCGCTCTACCAAGACGGCTGGTTCCCAAGATCCTATCTCACCTAGACGCCGCACCACGAAAAACCCGGTCTCGTACCCTGAAGAACCTAGTCCTGCATGTATGTATGTATGTATGTATGTATGTATGTATGTATGTATGTATGTATGTATGTATGTATGTATGTATGTATGTATGTATGTATGTATGTATGTATGTATGTATGTATGTATGTATGTATGTATGTATGTATGTATGTATGTATGTATGTATGTATGTATGTATGTATGTATGTATGTATGTATGTATGTATATAAGCTGGCGAGGGAGGTCGTCTCATCGGCGGCGGAACACGTACACCATCGCAGCCATTTTGCCTGCCATTAATTGGACCCACCATCCTTAGGATGCTCCTTCCCTCGTCCACGATGCGCGTAAGTATAAAAATCCTGGCGACACGCCTCGCGTCGTCCGACCGACACTGCCCTACGTGACCCCCACCCTCTGCCAGTCTGTGCATGTGCCTTCGTGCGATGGAGATGTACACGGAAGCAGCTCACGGCCGCTGAGGACGTCTATGTCGCACCGCCACACGGCACCCTCTGGAACTCCGCTGCAATGAAGATGCCTGATGGCTACATGTACGGAAATCCCCCCTCTATGCAGCAAGGTCCCCCCTCTACATGGACTTACCCAAGCAGGATACGCGGAGATGGTTTCGTTGGTTTCGTTGGGCAGCGGGCAGGGTCATGCTACCGCTAATTCTAGTTTATCCTATCGGCCCGCTGAGTCTCGGAGCGTGCAACCTTCAATTCAAGCGGATCACATCAACAGTTGACCGCGTCCAGTCTAGGTGGCGAATCATCGTACCGCTCGGCACTTGCAACTTCAGCACCACCGGTGGATTTCATCCACCGCCCCGCGTCCGGTTTGGGTGTGGGTGGATCTGTCTGCGCCACGCCCAAAATAACCGGCACATGACCGGGCCGAACCGTGGAACTCTGACTTACAATCCTTATACCGGGGCATGAACTCGTGGTACAATGAAGCAGTCGAATCATATACCCATCTGCACCGACTTAAACGGTAATAATAATAATAATAATAGTACGCCGGCCGGGGCCTGGCGTGTGTTAAGGGGGTGGGGAACTGAGGGGCGGCGTAGCCGCTCCTGTATGCCCACACCACCGTGACTTAAACGGTAATATGATGTGTGAAACAGGGGGGTGTATCTTCGCCCGTGGCAGCTACCCTGCGAAACCCTGCCTTCCCCGGTATTCGGGGCACCCTCATCCAGTCACCCTAGTCAACTTCTCAATGGATCGCTCAGGTTCCATACCCACCACCAGCATCCAACGGAATCTGCCGGGTCGACAGCGGCCCAACTCCATTCCTGGTCGGCTCGCAGGTTAACTTTATCCCAGGTCACCACCGTCCATCAACTAGGGGCGCATTGCCTTCCACCATCGGAAGGAATTTCGACCCTAACGGGTATCGATCCCGGGATCTCCCGGGGGCAATGGTCGCGCTGTAATATATGGACTGTGGATCTAGATCTGGATCTGGAACTGAATCTGGAGCTGTTCGCGCTATTTCCAACTTTTAATACCGGGCGGGCCAGAGCTGGTCCCGATACCATATCCCATCACCGCGTGGGCCAATCAGCAGGCCGCGCCAGTTCTAACTTAATGTGGCCCGCAAGTCAGCTGCTGGCGTTTCATGTTCCCAGCTGGGTAGCTGGGATAGCCTGCTAACTATCTATCTATCAAATCGTAATCAAGTGCAATAATATCGTCCCCCTCAGGGGCCCCCCCAGGCTTTTACTGAAAGCCCCTCGCACTTGTCCGGAACTTGTAGCACCCCCGTGTGGCAGTGCGCAGGTTTATTTAGTTGCAGCACAGATATTGTGCCATAGCCCATTCCGCCACACGCTTCTTGACATGCTCCATGCACCGTGCCTGTTGTACTTCTATTCTATTCAAGTGAAGTAGCGGCACGTCCAGGATGCGATAGATGTAACCGAGCTGACCGAGTTTCAACCATTTGCTTGAGTGTCCTGAGTTATGAGCTTACACTTGCTCAATGAAAAACAGTTAAAACAGTTGCGATGCGATGCTATCAGGTAGGACACGTGTGCGGAAGAAGTACGTCGTGCTAGTGGACCCTCGCTCACTGAGCGACCTGGCAGGTCAAGAAGCTCACTGCTGGGCTTTGTGGTGTGAGAAACAAATTGAGTGTTTCGGAAGGTCAGGCACAGATACTACTGCACGTGTGTGTACGTGTGTGCAACGACGTGCAGGTGTTCGGTCTCAGAGGTCTCAGAGGTCCGCTGAAATTTAGGAAGACGGCAGGGCCGTAATTACCACTTTATAAATCATGATACCATAATGTATGATTGGTATTATGAGCTCGCATGAGCGACCATGAGCTCGTTAAGCCAGTCGGCTCGTCATAGGCCGTGAAAATAAAAAGGAAGCAGACAAGGAGCCCACGAGCGTTACTTTGTGTTGTTGTTGTTGTTACAGGGTGGTACAGCTTCACCAGTGGCCTCCTTCCCGAGGCTATTCCCTGCTCTCCCCTGCTAGAGGGGCACCCTAATTTGTGTTGTATGCCATATAATTGTAATGTTACAGAGTGGGAGGCTTCTGGGAGGCTTCTGGGCTGCTTTATCACATATGTGACACACACCGTGCGGATATGGATCTAGACACTACATACTACATTTACAACGACGGCCAGGAACTGGCCCCATGCAACGATCCCGACTCATACGAACTTGTACAACAGTTGTACAACACCTGTACGACCAGTACGGTCTCCCGCTGCCGCTGGCGCTGTGTCCTTCGGTCCCTCCCAAATTGATGCAAGGTACTAGGTGGCTGATAACCATACCGACATACATGGTCATAATCGGCATAACGGTTTAAAACTCCAAAATTACAACCACTTACCATGCGTCAGCAGTACATCCACATCGGAGGTGCCGATTCTCCAAAACTGCCCCTGGCGGCCCCCGGTGCCCCGAGCGGTGTTCCGTCAGCCAGCAGCAACAGGAGATCGCCGTCACAAGTATTAGTTTTGTATGTATGTTGTTACAGGGTGGTATAGCTTCATCAGCGCCCCCCTTTCCCGAGGCAGTTCCCTGCCCTCCCCTGCGAGAGGGGCACCCTAATCCATTCACCCCATCCGACTTCAGAATGTATTCGTTGGGTTCAGCAACTCACCACCAGCATCCAACCAAATCTAGCGGATCAACGGCGCCTCAACCTAGTTCCTGGTCAGCTCGCAAGCTGATATAATCACGTCCTACACCGTCCACAAGATGGGGGCCCACCTCCCAATTCAACACTCCTCAAGCACCCGAGGCGTCCGCAGGCGGAATTGAACCCGGACACTCCGGGAGCAGAAGTCAGGCCTAAACCTCTGCCAGCCGCCTGCCTAGTTCTGGGTCTATTCGTGACGTGTAAGATTCGTACGTCCAATATACGTATCTTACTGGGGCCGCAAATAGTCAGTTTTGTTTGCGTCCCCTGTCCGGTGAAATTTCCTGTGCAGTCCTAACCCCTTTCTCGGGATTAGAAGAAATGCTGTTTTGCACAGTTAAACTAAAAGAATTTCCTTAACATCATTCTTTCCATTCCCTCCTTCCTTTCCTTCTTCGCTGCGCTGACGTCAGCTTACTGTTTGCGGCCACCCACTCGCAGCATTTGAACCTCGAAAAGTAAAGGCTCCCTGCAGTTGATAAAGGAGACCCCAGTTAGCGGTTTGGAGGGGCGCGTGGGCGATGGTGAGTGACAGGGTGGGTGTGGCCGTATGGACAAAGACACACATGGCGCGAGGATGACCGGCACGCATAAGCGCTGATGAAAATAAAAATATTGTGTTTCAGGACAATCAACGGTACGACATATGGTACGGCATAGTACAAGTATAATACGTACTTGCGGTGGTTTTCCAATTGGCGTTTTGTGGCGAATGTGGGCGGCTGCGGCAGCTCTCCTCCCCCCACGTAACCCAGCTCCGGGGGGATGACCGCGCGGCGCTTGGCGCCCGGGGACATGCCCGTCAGCACTTCCTCTAAGCCCTATCGGGAGGCGGATCCGAGGTGTTGGTTGGAAAATCAAGGATCGGTGTGTACGGTATTACCCCGGATTATTATACCCCAAAGTAAGAGGAAAATTGTGAGGTCATAAAGATAATAGTATCATTAAAAGAATCACGGGCCCCATCAACAGAGAAGGACTCGACACACCACATCTCACAGTGCTTCCCCCTACCCCACGCTTCACCCCACCCTTCACCCCACCCTTCACCCCACCCTTCACCCCACCCTTCACCCCACCCTTCACCCCACCCTTCACCCCACCCTTCACCCCACCCATTACCTCACCCTTCACCCCACCCTTCACCCCACCCTTCACCCCACCCTTCACCCCACCCTTCACCCCACCCTTCACCCCACCCCTCACCCCACCCTTCACCCCACCCTTCACCCCACCCTTCACCCCACCCTTCACTCCACCCTTCACCCCACCCTTCACCCCACCCTTCACCCCACCCTTCACCCCACCCTTTCAC